ATCGAACTGAGTTTGAGGGTTAAAGCTCGAGCTTGCTCACAATGTGGGATCACGAGGTTGGGAGCTCGAGGCAAAAGTTGATGGACCCAGCCATCTTGGTCTACTTTCAATACTTGGAGGTGGAGGAGGTAGATCAGAGATGGCAGGGTTTATGGTTTTGGTAATTACTGGGTTTGGTGTGGTTAAACTAGAAGGAGCGGAGGCTATCACAGGGGACACTGTTGGAATAGTTCCTGGGTTTGGGGTGTGACAATTGGTCTCAACGTTCCTGGTAGTGAGAAATCCAGATGTGTCCGTGGAAGTGGGCTCATAAAATTTCTTTTTCCACCTGGGAATTGTGTTCGACCTCTGAGGGCGTTGACCTTGTCAAGGCAAGCGTTTATGCGTCGCTCTTGGTCAGAAAGTTGTGTGGGTAAGTTTCGAGTAGCCAGGTCGTTGTTTCAATAGGCTACTTCCTGATTTTGGGAGCGATCCACCAATAAATGGAGCATCGAACGGATTTCTGCCTGCTCTTCAGCCTCACACCTTGATATGGTTGAGCTTGTTGGTAGTGATATTTGTGCCAGACCAGATCTGGTCGCGATAGCCGACGGATCTTCAGATCTGATCCAGACTCGATTGCCAGTGAGCGATGTTAAGTTTGTTAGAACTGAAATCGCTTATACCTTGGGAGCTCTCGAGCTGGTTGCTGTTGGAACTGCTGGAATCGATGAAGAGGTCGATCCAGCTGTTTGGGTTTGACCCGATGGTTGAGCACTTGCTCTATTAATTCCTGATAGATCTTCAATGATCACATGCTCAGGATTGGCAACAGACGTAACAGTAACTATTTCATGAAATCTCAAATTAAACTGTTTCGTGAATGAGACCGAATAAATATGTTAACTAATTCTTCACCGAGTATGTAATTTTACGGTGGAACTAAGAAACCAACTCGTCGGCTGATAAGGTGAGCTTTAAGCTTTAAACATTAATCATATTGCTTAATAAACATTAATCAATGCTGGTGTCATTGTCAATCCCAAGGGTGAAATGAAAGGATCTGACATCACCGGACCAATCGAAAAGGAGTGTGCCGACCTGTGGCCAAGGATTGCTAGTGCTGCAAACGCCATCGTTTAAGCAAAACCTTGAGATCTTTATCTGTGTTGAACGTTTTGCACCCCTCTATTGAGGATGTTTTGTCTTTGTTTTAGACTTCTGTTAATGCCTTGAACTTGATTCTAGTTACTATAAAAACTTCCTTTCTCGTGCCAAAAAAAAACTTTTAAAATGGATCAGATTTGTGGCAAATTCAATACTAACACAAGTGTCCCATAAACAATATGTAAATAAAACTAAGGTAGAGTTATTGATAAAGAGATTTATAAAGATTCTATTGTTATTGGTAGATGAATTTTAATATTCTTACTAAAATCCATTGTTATTGGTAGATGAATTTTAATATTCTTACTAAAATCCATTGTTATTGGTATAAAGATTTTCAAAAATATCTATACAAAATTCATTGTCATTCAAAAATTTTGATTTTTAATAATTCTATTAATCGATTAAAATCTTTGTTATTAGGATAAAGATTGTTAACAATTTAACTTGTTAAACAAAACTTTCAAAATACTATTTGTATACTTTAGATTCTTGAAATGATTATAATAAAAGATTTTGATAAATTTTCTAAATATTCATAACTCTTTACAAATTTAACAAATCCTAGACCCACGAACACTCTTTAATTTTTGTTTTGAATATATGATTATTGCACAGTAAATACTATTATTTGGAGACCTTTGTACAACTTCATTTAGAGGCTCTAGACCATTGTTTCATTTGTCTGCCCCTACGACGGGTTTTAATTGTTAGGTTTTTGTAATTAATAAACAGTAGTCGTCATTTTATATTTCTTTTGCTTATAAATCTCTCATAGTTATCACTTATCAGTATACATATAAAGTTATATTTTTTGGCCAAATATGAATTCTGCTTGAACTCAATTTCTTCCAGTTTTTCGTCCTCAATCTATTTATAGACACCGATACTTAAGTTCAATAAATGTTTCAAACAAAGTATCATAGTAGCTAGAACAGAAATTGTATAGCTTACATCAACTCAAAACAAAACGTCTAGTGTCACATTCAAAACAAAACTTAGACAAAACTAAAGGGAAAGCGAGACAAAACAGAAGAAAACAGTTTCGGGATCAAACTCGAGAACCTCAGTGTCGGAAAAACGAAATTACTCATCCATCTCCTCCTCTTCGTCTTCTTCCTCCTCTTCACTGAGGTCAAGCTCAGCAAGCAACTCTTCAATAGGCACAGACGGTGCACCTTCTCCATCAGTCATCGAAGCAGTCTCAGACTCTTGATAATCCTTGTTCTTGTACAAAGATATGTTAAACCTCATCTCAGGGTTCTCTTCAAGATCCCTCAAAAACTCCTCATACTCATTCTCCGCCTTCTCTGGATCACCCCTGCCTCTTGAATCATCAACTTCCATCGGAAGCTTCTTAACTTTCCACGAACGTGTCTTCTTCTTCTTCCTATCTCTCTGCTCATCATAGCATTTCTTGATCAGAATCGCTTCAGGAAGACCATTCTTCACACTCAAACGGTACTTCTCCATCTCATTGTCGTTCACATTCGCACCGTAAATATCATACCCTAAAGCTTGATCACCTGGTTTCAGAAGGTGACCTAAATGAGTCTGGACATAAAACATCTTCCCGATATCAGATTCACGCGCGATTTGAACATAGGACAGAGCGTAGTTCTGCCCGCCGACATTAGCTTCACCGACAGGAGGCTCAACATCAAACACAAAGTACTTCACAAGCTGTCTGCTCGTGAGCGCGGATCGAAAACCGGACCTCCAGTACTGTCTCGCGTCCAAGAAAGCGCACCTTAAGGTTCTTGGATCAAGAAGAGTGATGTTATCAGAGACTTTCGTGCAGACAACGAGCGGGCCGAGGTTTCCTAACCCGCTAGCGACTTTCGAAGGCAAGCATATTAGATCCTCACGGCACACAGGGCAGATTTTGACAGAGTAAGTGTACTTGTAGTTGTACAAGCTGCTCTTAACATCATGAGAAACCAATTGTTGATCTTGACGATACTCGATAGGGACGACTTTCCTGAGAAACTCAACAAAGCTATTAGCATGACTCTTGTTCCCAAAGAAGAAATCAATCCCTTGATCAACCTGCTGGATTCTGATAGCGCGAGAAGCAGCGTCGTGCCTGAGAATCAACTGTTCAAGGTAATAGAAAGTCCTCCTGTGAGATACATGCTGCCTAAGCTGAACCGAAGCAACCCACTGATCAGGGTTAGCTTGAAACCTAGAGCAAGACTCGCAGAGATTGTCTCTCACGGTGTACTCGACGGGGTAAGACTGCTCGAGGACAGCGCCGTTGAGAACCTCGGCTTGAACAGTGATCTTCACCTTGATCCTCTTGGAATGTGGCTCGGTCCAGACGAACTCAGCGTTCTTGAGCTTCACTTTGTTGAGGTTCTTGAGCCTCTTGATGCAGAAAGTCAAGAGCTCTTTCGATTCCCATTGAGCTTTGATCCACGTTTTCGGCGGCTGGAGGTAGCAACCGCACTCGGGGCAGTAGAAGATCTGAATGCTTTTCTGCAAACCTTCGGTGATGTCGACTTCGGATCGGAGACAGTTCACGCACATGTTTGCTGCGTTTGGTGGCATAGGGACACCACACTTGCAGCAGAGAACGCTTCCTATGGTTTGTTGAACCTTGAACATCCCTGATTGCTGATCCATTATTGACATCTGTGAAAACAACAGGCAGAGATAATGAAAATCAGATTACGAGGAAGAAGAAGAAGAAAGGTAGAGAGTAACAACGAAATTGATAACAGATGATGAAATCAATACAAGAAGAGAAACCTAGAAAATCAACAACAAAGATGATAACACAACACTATTTCTGGATAATCTGAAATATCAATAAATTAGCAACAGATGATGAAATCAATACAAGGAAGAAGAAACGTAGAGAGCGACAACAAAATCGATAACACAACACCATTTCTGGATATTCTGTAACACCAGCGAAACAGCAACATATGATGAATTCAATACAAGAAGAAACCTAGAAATCAACAGCAAAATCGATAGCACAACTCCATTTCTGGATAATCTGTAATATCAGTGAAATATCAATATATGATTAAATCAATACAAGGAAGAAGAAACGTAGAGAGCAACAACGAATTCGATAACACAACACCGAAATTAGGGATTCTTCATCGCAGGGATCAATTCGACGCAACGGACAGATTTCGAATGGTTACAGTTAAATCTTTCTACAATCGAATTACGCTAACATCTAGGAAGATTGATACGAACCTACAGAGGATGAAGAAATGCGAAAGAACGATGAAAATCGAAGAAGCTTTTGCTTACCTGGGCGAGTTTGAGAGAGAGAGAGAAGGCGGCGCGATGCAGAGGGAGGAAGAAGGAACAAAAACAAAACAAAAAGACAGGTGAAGGTTTCTTAAACGTTTGTGTGAGGCCTTATATTTTAGGGTTGGGCCAAAAGAAAATGATGTGTGGATTATATTATTAAACAAAGAAAATTCAAATTCAACATGTATTTGAATTTCGCTTCTTCTAACACATTGACCGACATGAGATACTACATTACATCGATGTATTTTAAAAAAAATTAAATCATTTAATAAAACTCGTTTTTTACTTTCAGTTGTCTTCCGTGATTTTGATTATCATATAACACAATGACATAGAAGTGTGATATGGTTTTTAAAATGTAAATTAATTTTGAATTTTTCTCAAATTTATTTACATTAATTATCTGACTTTGAGTTTTCTTAAATTTACTTATTTAAATTTGATATATTTTATTTTTTAAGTTTTTTTAACCAAAACTACTTTTTATTTATTTTTATTGTAATTCAAGTTTCTGAAGATTATTAATAAGTTTTTATTTTTATTTTTTAGTTAAATAATATTGTTTTATTTATAAAATTTTATCTGATATGGTCTAAAAAGCAAAAATTTGTAAAGTTCAATTTGGCTAAAATATCTGTTTTTATATTTGTAGTACAAAAAATAAAATTAAAAAATAGAGAAATGAAGAGAGTGGCACGGTTTCTGATATCGTGGAAAAAATCTGCAATTTCGTTCAAGTCTGTTCTTGATCGCAGAGCGTTGATGAGGACATTAGAGTCCGAATTGATACAAAGATGGTGGATATCCGAAGCACGGGCTTTCTTGAGGGTCGAGCAGAGCGCGAATATTTCCACCATTAAGGCTGATCCTACAAAATCCCGATGCTCAGATTTTTGTTCCATCATTATTCCAGATGCTGAGACAATCAGCCATCCCATGCCGCTACATTTTGTCTCTAATTTCCACGCTCCATCGATAATGCAGATCAGGGATTTTGAGTTTCCAACATGGGGTAAAGGGATGGAACAGATCTTCCTGGGTTTTGGTATGACAGAAGCTGATTCCCAATGTTTAGCATCTGAGATTGCTTGCGAAAAGACTTTCTTAGCTGGATAATCCTTATCTTCAAAGAGAAAGAGATTTCTAGCTGTCCAAATGTTCCAAAATAACTAGGATGCAAGGGGAGAGCTCATGAGGCCTGGGGGAGGAAGATTACTAGCCTTGTTGAAGCTATTAGGAGTTGTTTTAGATCTGCGGGCTGGTGATCCAGGGGCGGACAATTATGGATTGGAGCCAACTTCCAAGCTTGTTTTGCAAACCGGCAGTTCCAGAGAATGTGACAGATTGACTCTGCGTCTCCGCATCTTTTGCAGTGAAGATCCGTCATTACTCCTTGAGACGCTAGAAGCTCACCTACCGGTAGAGCACAGTTTAGAGCCCTCCAGAAGAAATGCTTCAGTTGGGGGGATGTTTGCACACTCCAGACATAGAGCATCCAATTAAAAGTGTGGGGCTCTTTTTGGATCTTACTCTGTGCTAGTACGCGGTAGCCTGACTTAGTCGTGTAGATGCCAGAATTCTTCAGGAGCCAAACTTGAGAATCAGCGGGTTTTAAAGAGCTTGCGATTAGTTGCTGGATAGAGGCCTCATACTGAGGTAAGTGGCTTTGAAGGTTCCACTCGTCTGAGTGTTGATCTAGTAAATCAGAGACTCGAAGGTGAAGGGAGTCAAGAGTGGGAGGGCCTATTGGGGTTAAAGAGCTTAAAGTAGAGAGTCATGGGTCTGTCCAGACCTTGATCTCTTCGCCATTACCCACCAGATAGCTCAATCCTTTTTCTAAAACTCTCTTCCCTGCCATTATTCCTTGCCATTTGTGTGAAGCAATTTGTTTTGGAAAACTCTCTATGAAGGAGCAAGATGGGAAGTACTTCCCTTTGAGAACCTGATCCAGCAGAGAATCAGGGGTTTTAAAAATACGCCAACTTAATTTAGCCAGGAGAGCATCGTTGAATGTCTCCACTTCGCGGATGCCTAGTTCTCCTTCGTGCTTTGGTTTAGCAATGTTCATCCATGCCACCCAGGCTATTTTATGTTTGTCCGGGGAACTATCCCACCATAAGCGAAGGATAACTGATTGAATTCGCTTGCATAAGAAGCTAGGGAGCTTGAAGCAGGACATCGAGTATGTGGGTAGGGACGACAAAACTGATTGTAGCAGGACTTGTTTTCTGGCGCCAGAGAGAAGTTTGTCGGCCAGCTGTGGGAGCGTTGTCTGATTCTGTCGACCAGACTGGTGAAAACATACTTCTTCCTTCTTCTGATTGTTTCAGGTAACCCTAGATATTTGCCCACTCCCCCTTCTTTGGTGATGTCCAGAAATGCTTGAACTCTTTCTCTAATAACAGGCAGGGTTTTATGAGAGAAAGTGATTGTTGATTTGGAGAGATTGATGCATTGGCCTGAGGTTTCTCATAGCGCTTCAGGATATTGTTCAGCTCCTTACAATTAGCTTCATTTGTTTTGCAGAAGAAGACTGTATTGTCAGTGAAGAACAGGTGGTTAATATGTGGACTTCTTCTCGCTACCTGGAGACCCTTCAGACTTCCAGTGTCTTGGGTTTTCTGACAGAGGCCTGAAAGGACTTTAATGCACAGGATGAAAAGGTACGGGGAGAGGGGGTCTCCCTAGCGCAGTCCGCGTTTAGAGGAAACAGCACCTTGTGGTGAACCGTTTATGAGGAAGGAGTAAGAGATGCTTGTGACGCATTCCATGATCTACTTTATCCACACATCAGCAAAACCAATTCTTTGGAGGACCCTTTCGAGGAAGCTCCATTCGATCTGGTCGTAGGCCTTACTCATATCAGTCTTCACCACCATTGAGCATCGTTTTGTTTCCCACGAACACTTGAAGTAGCGGAGCGTTTCATGGGTGATGAGCACATTTTTTGTGATAGCTCGTCCTGGAACAAAAGCATATTGGTGTTTGGAGATAAGGTTTTCCAGCAGATTTTGGAGACGGTGGGTAATTATTTTAGCAATAATTTTGTATCTGACATTGCACAGAGCAATGGGTCGATATTCTGTTGCCGTCTTGGGAGAAACACCTTTGGGGAGAAGACATACATGTGTCTCATTCAACTTCCGGTCCATTCTTGCAGTGGTAAAAAAGATCTGAATTTCTCGGCAAATATCTTGGCCTATGATTGTTAAAATTTGTAATGATTGTTAAATTTTTAACATTCCATTGTTATTGGTAGATGGATTTTGAACATTCATACTAAAATGTATTGTTATTGGTATGAAGATTTTTAAATTCTATACAAAATCCATTGTTATTCAAAAAGTTTAGTTTTTAATGATTCTATCAATCTATTAAAATCTTTGTTATTGGGACAAAGATTGTTAACAATTTAACTCATTAAACAAAACTTTCAAAATACTATCTATATACCTTCGATTTTTCATTATACTAAAAGATTTTGATAGATTTTGTAACCAAAAGCATGATTACTGAGTAATAACTTTTAGACATAAGGATGGGATAGATTAGGAGAGCTAAAAAAAAATGAAAAGTCTATGTTTGTTATATTCATCATTCTTGATCCTTTTTTTTGTCACTCAATTTCTTATAATAAATTAGACCCGAACCGAGTTTGTACAATTGATCTCAAGGCGTTTTTCGCTAACTCATCTACTCGAGTCAGGTTTTCTCTACCAACAAAATGAAACGAAATTGATTCAAACGACAAAGAGAGTTTTGAGATGTCAGCGATTATCCCGTGAAGATCAGAGATACTCCCGCCCTCTTTGATTGCTGAAATGAGGGTCTGATTCGAAGGAGATCCTCTTGTAGTTTCGTGTAATGCATGCTCCATAGCCGCTCGCAGTGCTAATCCCTCCGCCACGAGGGGAGATTTCACGAATTCGAAGGTTTGGGAATTGGATTCACACGATCCATCCCTAGCTCGTGAGAAACTCCATTCTCCTCCTGCTTCCGATGATTCCATCTTCCACGCTGTGTCCGATTTGTAGATGATTTCTTCCCTGCGGCTCAGATTTCCGATGGGGGTTTTTTGATGAGGTTTGGCTATCGATGGCTGGGCTGCAAGCCATTCCCTTGCATCACTGATTGCTTTTACAGCAACTTCTTGCTCCGAGAAGCATCGGTTTTGGAAGATCCTAAGATTTCTCGCCTTCCAGATGTTCCAGAGGACCCAAGGTGCCAGCGCTCCTTTTTCTACTCCCGTTGACGGAAGACAAATGGCTGATTGTACAGATCTCCAACCCTACTCAAAGCTTCGGAACCTTCCCGACTCCACTTGCACAGAGAAAGGTAAATGTTTCCACACTCTTTTTGTAAACGGGCATGTAAAGAACAAATGTAGGATAGACTCTGATTCATTGCATAATGAGCAATTGTCTGCAAGTAGTATTTGTCGAGCGAATAGTCTCTCTGACATTGGTATAGCGTTATGTTTAGCTTTCCAAATGAGAAGTTTTACTTTCTGTGGGGTCTTTAGAGCCCAAACATCGTTAATCCAGTGATCAAAATCTATAGTTAACCCCTCGAGGGCTTGCCTTCTTGTTAGATCTGCGTAGTACCCTGTTTTGGTAGTTTAGACTCCGGTGTTCTTCTTAAGCCAGATTTTCTTATCTGGGAGTCCTTTTCTGCTTGGTTTGATGGATAAGATCTTATTAGCTACCTCAGGGAAGAGTTTTTGAACCTTTTCAATGTCCCATTCTCATGATTGAGCTAGGAAGAGGCTCTTTACTGTAGCATTGGCGCTTTCTTCTGGAGCTGGGCCTATTGGTCTCTCTCGTTTCTCGGTTGAGAGCCAATCCTCCTCCCAGATTTTTACTGTATCCCCATTTCCTATAGCCCACTCGAGATCGTTAGCTAGTAGGTCCCTGCCTATAAGGATACTGCGCCAACCATGTGAGCAACTGCCTGATGGGGTGATTTCCAAGAAAGGTTTGTCCCCGCAGTATTTCCCTTTAAGGATTCGGTCGAGGAGGCAATTCGGGTTCATCAGGATTCTCCAACTAAGTTTTGCAAGTATGACATCATTAAAACTCTGGATATCTCGGAAGCCAAGCCCTCCCTCTTGCTTTGACTTTATCATTTTCTTCCACGAAACCCATGCCATCTTCCTTTCCCCTGCTTTTGAATCGTTCCAAAATCTCGTCAGGGCTGCTTGAATCCGCTTACAGTGTGACATTGGCAATTTGAAGCAGGTCATTGCATGGTTTGGCATTGTTGAGAGGACGCTTGTTAGGAGCACCAGTTTTCTGGCAAGAGATAGGAATCTAGTTGACCATCCTATTGCTTTTTGCCTTATCTTGTCCACTATAGCTGTGAATAAGTCCTTCTTTTTCCGGCCAAAATGCTCTGGCAATCCCAAATATCTCCCAACACCTCCCTCATTCTGTATTGGGAGAGTGTTTTTGACTTTCTCTTTGAGTTCCTGAGATGCTTTTCTGGAGAAAGTAATTGCCGACTTCTGCGGGTTTATGCTTTGCCCCGATGCCTGCTCATATTTTCTGAGGATAGTTTGTAGAGCTTCTATACTTTTGTCATTTGTTCTACAAAAGAACATGGTATTGTCGGCAAACAGAAGATGATTAACCCTTGGCGCCCTATTAGCAACTCTGATCCCCTGAAGTTTCCCCTCCCTTTGCACATTCAGGCATAATCTCGAAAGCACTTCACTGCACAAGATGAAAATATAGGGTGATAACGGGTTGCCTTGTCGGATCCCTCGGTTTGGTTTAACTCTTCCTCTGGCTGAACCATTGATCAGAAAGGAGAAGGACATTGTGCTAACACATTGCATGATCCATTGTGTTATAGCACTAGTTCAATGAATCTCCATTCTAAGCGAGCATAAGCCTTACTCATGTCGGTTTTTATTGCCATGGAACATCTTTTTGTTGCATATGAGGTCTTTAAGAAGTGCAGGACTTCGTGTGTTATTAGAACATTGTCAGAGATTGCTCTCTACCTGGCACAAAGGCGGATTGGTTTTCCGAGATAATTTCCGTCAGAACCGGTTGGAGCCTTAGCATTAGTAGTTTAGAGATTATCTTGTAGTAGACATTGCATAATGCAATTGGTCTATAATCCGCTACTTTCCTCGGTCCCTGGTTCTTCGGAATCAACCGAATGTGTGTCTTGTTTATGCTTCACGGTAATATACACGAGTGGAAAAACTCCTTTATCTCCTTGCAAATCTCATCCCCTACCACATTCCAATTCGTTTGAAAGAAACCAGCTGAAAAACCGTCAGGACCAGGCGCTTTCTTTGCATGAATAGAGAACAGAGCCTCTTATTTTCCTTATCCGTAGGGTCCTTGATTAGGTTTCGATTCACTCCATCCGAGATTATAGGCTTGAAAGCAAATGAGACGATTTGCTCTCCATCCTTATCTTGTGAGGTGAACAGGGTCTTAAAGTACTTCACGATGCAGCTTGTTATCTCTTCTTCCCGAAACACTGCTTTCCCCTCCTCATCTTCCATCACCGTGAAGGTGTTTATAGCTTTTCTTCCTTTAGTTATAGCGTGGAAATAACCAGTATTTCTATCTCCTAAGCTTAACCACATGATTCGACTTCTTTGCTTCCAGAACTCTTTCTCTGCCGCATAAGCATTTTTAAGTTCTTGGTTTAACTTTCCCAAGAGAGGGCCATCGCGTCGGGGGTTTACCATAACCTCTTCTAAAGCCTGTTTTCTTTTTCTCTATAATCGCTCTGCTATTTTTCTACTGTTCTTTGTTCCATTTAACTATGGCTCCCCTAACTTTTGCGATTCTACGTTGCACATGACTTTCTTTATCCTCCATCCAGCATTGCTTAATGATTTGCTTTACCTCGTCATTATCCTTTAGCCTCCTGTCAAAGCGGAACAAACCTATCCCTTTTTTCCTTTGAGTGTCGAAGCTAGTTACGATAGGCTTGTGGTCTGAGCCTTTGTAGTTTAAGTATTCACTATGCCCAGAGTAGAAATCTTCGAACCAATAGCTGTTTGCTAAAGCGCGATCAAGTCTGCATCTTGCCACTTGATCCCCTCGGACTCCTCTCCAAGATAGGAAGTCTCCTGAGTGCTTTAGATCATATAGGTCCCCTTCCGAGAGGAAAGAACGAAATCCACAAAAGTTCCTTCTGCTCTGGTTACCCCTCCTACCTTTTCTTGGTTGTTGACGATATCATTAAAATCTCCAGTCCGGAACCACGCGGCATCTCGGGCGTTTGAGAGGTTTAAAAGTTCGCTCCACACTAATCTTCTCTTATTTGGATCATTATCACCATATACAAATGTGGCGAAGAAACTTTTGTTGTCGTAAAAAATACTTGTATCGAAATAATTTTGACAAGAGGAGATTACATCAAGGTTGATTCCTTGCTTCCAGAATAGGGCCAGACCTCCTCCTCCATGTCCATGTGGCGATACTAGAGCTTTATTTGGGTAATCCAACGAAAGAAATTTGCGGATAACAAATCCATCGGGATTCTTTGTTTCCGAGAGAAATATTACATCAGGGTTTATACGTCACCGTATTTCCCTTATTCGCTGGAACGTCAAGGGATTCCCCAAACCTTGGCAGTTCCAGCTTGCTATTTCTAAGGACTTGTTTTGGATGGATCCCGAAAATCCATCTTTTGCTTGACAATCGTAGGGATAATTTGACACACGGGATTTTGTCCTGTGGAATTGTTCACCTCCGTGGGAGGGATGTGGATTCTTGAGCTGGATGCCCTGGAGCTCTTTGCAGTTAGTTTCGATGTTGTTCATCTTTTTGGGGATGGTTTAGTTTGCGCCATTTTCCGTTTTCTTGAACTGGTTCCAACAATAGGGTTTATATGTTTTATCCACTTTCTTCTTATCCTTTAGGGGTCTTCTTAGTCGTTTTTTTGCTGGCACCCGTGGGGGTATCTCTGAATCTTCGGTTATGGGGACCTCACTTAGTGCCAAAGGGCCTAGTCTTTGACTTGCTGGTATTCTTGTCTGTTGTAGTGTTTCCTCATAGGTTTCCTCTTCCCCAGTAGCTTGAATTTTGTTTATTATTGCATTGTGAACCATTTGTGCTGCTATGGCTTCCAGTTCTCCATGCTCCTCTGCTAAACGCAGCCTCTCTTTTCTTGCAGCACTTTCTGTGGGATCTGCACATGAGGAATATTGGATCATAACTTCGTGCAGTTCCTCTCTTGCTACTGATAGAGCCTCTTCGGGGAGTTTGGGTACGTCATTGTTTTCCCTTACTCTGCTATAATTGGTATTTCTGTCTAGGTGTGTCGATTCTGATGCAGAGAGGTTTCCTTTACCGGATTGAGCAGGGGAAAGACGTCGATGTTCTCCACCACGCCGCAGTGAGTTCTCAGACCGTCTGGTTTTGCTTCTGCTCCGTTGGTCTGAAACAATAGAATATGAGAATCGTCTTCCCGTTTCCACCCATCTCCCTGGTGTTTGGTCTTTCGATCTGAGGGAGTTTCTGTGGGAGTTTGCACGAAATTCAGATCGATATGACGATTCTCTGCTAGAGCTCCTATGGAGATTATTCCGGGTGAGTCCACGGTACTCTGTTTCTCTATAATTCCGGTGGTTCCTGCTTGAAGTTTGGTGTCTAACAGGGTGAGGTTGGTCAAAAGCTCTTTCTCTTCCCCCATCCTCCGAGTTAGAAGGGAGAGGTGCTCTTTGGGGACCTGGTCGGATCGCTGCCTCATTCCCTTTGGAGTTCGTAGCAGTTTCCACAGCGAGCTTTCTAAGTGTAGGTGCTGTTTTGTCTTTTGTAGAAGTTACGACAGCTGGACACTCACTTAGCTCATGGTCAAGCGTACAACAGAGAGAGCAATGTTTCTCTAGTTTATCATAGACTAGCGTTGCCACAACTTTGTCTCCATTCGCAAATTCCACAACCGAGCTCATCAGCAGGGGTACCAAGCTGTTTACGCTAACTCTCATTCTTGCTGCCATTGCAGATATTTCCCAACTCTCGAAGTTTCCCAAGTCCTCTCATATGCTTCTTAGCAGGGCTTCACTCCACAGATGCACTGGTATTCCTTGAACGCGGATCTAGAAAGGGATTTGAGAGGGAAAGTTGGGGGAGACTGTTGGCTCCCATCGCTGAAGAATTATCATCCAGCGGCAAAGTGGTATGGTCTGTTCTCCAGCACCATTTCCAGATCCTCTAGGCACCCGACTGGAACTGGAACTTGCCTTGTCCCAAATCTGCTCCTATAGGTCTGTGCGTTGTTTTCTAATGCTCAGCAAAGAAAGTGAGTAGGGACCATATTCACTGGGTTTTGGAGTTTGTGACTCTTCCAATCACGGTTAGGGAGTGTTTACGTATCAACTCCGAGTTGTCGAAGTCCGGAACTCTCACTCGGCCAAGTCTTGGGGGGGACCTTGGGGCTTCGATTCCTTTCCCTTTCTCAGCATATGAAAGTCTTTGGGCCATACTGCTGTTCTTGAGCGTGGAGTTGGGGTCACTTGCCGGAACTGAACTTCTCTTGCAAATCTTTGTTTCAGGAAACACCGCCAAAGTGAGAAAGTTTCAATGCTTTACAAAGCAAGAGTGTTATGTAGCATGGAGCAAAGAGCTGTTGCAGCTATTCTTTCCTTGGGTTCCTGCAGAAGAGAGCCTGAGTAGAGGAGAGCTTACCATGCTGATCGGCGGACCCTCCGACGGTGGCCGGGGGTGGAACCACGGTTTTGCCAAAACCAGGAGTTGTTTTGATTCAAAAACTTCTTATTTCGGGTAAAAACAGGGTAGTTGGAGCAAAACAGGAGACAAACCAAGTGGTTGGAAACTACCTCAAAGTTCGTGCCTGGGAGAGAAAAAAAAATTCAACAGCGAATAATTTTCTTGATCCTTTCTTATTAGTCATTTTTATTGCTTAAATCAAATCGACCATATTTTTAGGCATCTCTAGCAAACACCATGCTAGATGTATGTTGGAACCACTTTTAAGAGATTTATTCATCCTAGCCTATAAAAGTAGATGTTTAAAGAGTATTTTGGGGAGATAGAGATTAAAGTTTGTTATTCATTCTATCACTAAAAGATTAGGCTTTGGTTATGTGAGTAACAAAAATGTTAGATCCAAATAGTATGGGCTAAGCTTGTTATGAACTATATGCCCAAAGATTATGATTTTCTTATTGTTATATTGCATTTGATAAATATAGTAAAACATCGAAAACAGAAAAACAAAAAGAGCTCCCTTAAATCGATTATTCCATCCTAGATCTATTTTATCTTATAGTTCTTACTTATTTAAACCTTGTTCTTACTTATTATTTTGTCTTATTTACTTGAGCTTTATCTTATTATTCCAAGTCTCTAATTACTTATGCTTTTGTTTATTTATCTTATTTAAATATTGCTCTTTTAGTTTTATTTATAAATTATGTTTTCATTTTTATTTATACACTTAGTTTTTTAAGTTTTATTTAAACTCTTTTTAAGTGATATAATAAGAAATCAATCAACCAACTATCTAACTTGACTTAAGAACAACTACTATAATACTTATGTTCTAAAAGAACTCTATCGATCGATGAGAACATCTATACTCCATTATAATTTGAATTGTATAAAGGATATTTATTTTAGAGGATATCTTTTAAGTTTTGAACTTCACCTTTTCTATTTTTATAAGTAGAAGAAAGGAGTGGAAAAACACCTCTACTACGTACTCCATGATTCTTGATCTGGAACATACCAAAACAAGACTACACGTGGTATATATATATTTATTTTACACTATGTTTTCTTGTTTTGTGTGTGTGTGAAACAGTGTACTACACTATGTTTATTCTGTTTTGTTATATATAATGTGTAAATTGAAATGGAGTAACAAAACAGAATAAACATAGTGTAGTACACTGTTTCACACACACACAAAACAAGAAAACATAGTGTAAAATAAATTAAATATGAAACAGAGTAAACGTAGTACGCTGTAGTAAACGGAAACCACTGTTTTGATAACCGGCGGCCAAAAAAAAACACCCGAGACTAATTTTCGCCTAATCGGTTGAAAAATTAGTCAAACAAAAAAGTCTAACGATTAATTTAGACGGCGATTAATTTAGAGTGCAAATGGATGACACTTTAAGAAAACAAAAAATAAATTGAACAATTAGGCTAAATATATACTTAGAATTGTGTTTAAATTGAATAATGTAAGTTTTAGAATTGAATTTAAAGATATTTTTAGAGTGAATAATTATGTGGCTGACAAAGGTGTCAAAATGGATCTAAATTTATGGGTTGACCCAAACCAGTTGATCCATAAACCCAATTGGACTGTAATTTTTGATACTAATAGATTGATGGATTAACTGGATTGGTGGATTAATTGGATTGGTTTGAATGGTTTAATTAATGTTGGGTTGATAGATAAGATATCTGTTTAACCCAATAATTTTTTTTATCTCGTCGATTATACGATATCTCTTTCTCCATTCCTTAATCTCGATCTTTCTCCCTCGATCTCTCTCGAACCCCTTTTCGATCTCTCTCAGACCCTTTCTCGAGCTCTCTCATACCCTTTCTCAGTCTCGAACTTTAAATTTCCTATCTCCCTCAATCTCGATTTCTTTCCCTCGATCTCTATCTCTCGAATTGGAAGTCTTTGACGGATTCTCACTGGAGCTTCTGCTTTTACAGGTGCAATGAAATGGGTTTTTGATTATACTGGGTATTGATATGTTTAATCTGCAAATTCACACATTTGACTTCTAATTTGTTATCAGTTATAGATTCAATTCATCAACCATGGATGATCTTGGACCAAATTCAGAAAAGTTTGTTTTGTTTTTGAATTACTAAGCTTGTAAGAAAGTTTTTGACTTGTAGTGGCGTTCTTCTAGTTTATATTTCTGTGAATTATAGTACTGATTTGTAGATTTTCATATCACTGTAAAATCTACGGCAATGGAGAATGAAGAAGATAATCTTCAGGGTGGTGGTGTTATGGGGCAATCATCAACAAGGACATCAAGTCTAGTAAGTTCTACTAATAGGAAAAGAAGCAAGACATCTTCTATGTGGAATTACTTTAAAGTAGAAAAAGATGAGAATGGTGAAGAAAGAGCATATTGTTTGAAATGCTCAAAAAATTATGTGTATACATCAACTAGTGGAACATCAAATAAACGCCATAGCAAGATATGTTTAAAGGGATTGAATGACGAAAGAAGAGTAGCGAAGATTGATGATAAAATTTCTAGGGAAAAATTCAATCGGGTTATTATTAGACACAATCTTCCTTTTCTTTGTGTGGAATACAATGAGCTTAGAGATTACCTAAGTTATTTGAAACCAGACTATATGTGCTATACTAAAAACACTGCTGCAGCTGATGTTGTTAAAACTTGGGAGAAGGAAAAACGGAGATTGAAGTTTGAGTTAGAAAAGATACCTGGTAGGATATGTTTGACTTCTGATTGTTAGAGTGCACACTCTGGAGATGGTTATATAGTTCTCACTGCTCATTATGTTGATTTGAAGTGGGTATTAAATAGCAAGATTTTGTCCTTCTGTGATCTACTTCCTCCGCATACCGATGATGTTTTAGCTAGTAAAATCCATGAATGCTTGAAAGAGTGGAGAATAGAAAAGAAACTGTTTACTTTGACTGTGGATAATACTACAGCTAATGACAGCATGCAAGAAATATTAAATGACCGGCTTAATCTAGACGATAATTTAGTGTGCAAAAGCGAATATTTTCATGTGCGGTGTTGTGCACACATCCTTAAACTTATTGTGCAAGATGGTTTATATGTTATTAGTAGTGCATTGTCTAAAATCAGAGACACTATGAAGTATATTAAAGCTTCTATGTCAAGAAGGATTGCATTTGCAAGTTGTGTAGATAACGATGGTGAAGTTGTTCTGTCTCTAGATATTATAAATAGATGGAATTCAACATACGTGATGCTTTAGAAGGCTTTGAAGTATCAGCGTGCTTTAAACAGGTTTAAAGTAGTTGACAAAAACTATAAGTATTGTCCCTCAAATGATGAATGGAAAAGAGCTAAGATTATTCATGAGATCTTGAAGCCTTTTTTATAGTATTACATCTTTAATGCCAGGAATAAGTTATTCTACTTCTACTTTATATTTCGCTCATGTATGGAAGATTCAATGTGTGTTAGAAGTGAATAGAAGCAATGAAGACACAATCATTAGAACTATGATTTCTAAGATGAGAGCGAAATTTGATAAATATTGGGAGGAGTATAGTGTTGTTTTTGCAATGGGAGCAGTTTTAGATCCTAGGATGAAGTTTAAGCTTTTGAAGAGGTGTTATGATGAACTTGATCCATTTACTTCCTAAGAAAAAAATGATCTATTTTGAGAGTAGGCTTCTTAAGCTCTTTGAAGAATATAGGAGAAAATATTCTCTCACTCCCGTTGTGAGCTCTATAAGACCAGACTCTCTTGTTTCTGAACAAGGAGGAGAAACCCATGGCGTCTTAGATGTAACTTTCTAGTTTATTAATCTAACATTTATTTATTTTTTTAGATTGTAACATGTTCATATTTCAAATAATACAGTATTTGTTTGAGTTAGATGATATTCCAGACGTTATGGGTGAACGCAAGTCAGCATTGGATATGTATTTAGATGAGCCAAAATTAGATATGAGAAGTCATCCTCATTTGAACATGTTGCAGTATTGGAAAGATAATAGTTGTCGGGTTGGTGCATTAACATACATGGCGATGGACATTCTCAGTATTCCTATCACCAATGTAGCTTCTGAATCTTTTTTCAGTATTGGGTCTCGTATAATTAACAAATACCGGACTTGGCTTCTACTTAGCAATGTGCAAGCTTTGTTGTGTACTCGCTCTTGGTTATTTGGCTATAAAATTGATGTTGAAGGTATAAGAGTGATCATAAGTTTTCTTTAGCTTAGTTTATGCATTTATTAATGTTTTTTTCTTGTGAATTATAGATAACAATGATAAAAGCGAAATTGTTACTATTAGAGCAGAACCAACGTGTATGAAAAAAAGAACATGAGTGATAAGTGAGTGATCAAATCTACTTAATGGTTACTTGATGTTCTGATATTTTGCTTGATGTTTGTGGATGGTTACTTGATATTCTGATATTTTGCATGATTTTTGTGGATGGTTACTTATGTTTTGATATTTTAGTTTTACATGCTTTGCAGATGCATTTTTGTTGATGAAACTGATTGTGGCTTGGAGCATGACAATAAAAATGACTCATATAATTAGATAGGTTATGGTTAACCATTTGATTCATGTATTTTTACAGATTTATGGATAAACCATTTGACTCATGTAATTAAACAGGTTTTGGTTAAACCAAACTCATTTGCTAAATAGATTGAATTGACCCATGATCCATTAATCTTTCACCCATTTGGGTAATGGGTTGGGTTGGGTGAACTGTTTTGACACCCCTTTCGTCATCAAACAAACTTTAAGAAATTTTACATGTGTAACTGTTGAAGTACTTGTTAAAAAGAAAATATGATATGGTTTTAAATAGGGTTAGACAAAATTATCAAACCAAAATTTCTAAATCTTAAACTGAACCAAATTATATACTAATTTGATTGAAATAAAAACGAACCGATTAACCAAAATTCATATACTGTAACTAATATTCAAAAACAAACCAATTAAGCAAAAGGCTTAGTATTGAATAACTAGAGTGAATTAAAACATTTTGGTCCAAATGAGTACTATGATTTGCTAATTATTTTCAATTAAATGATCGTTTAGTAGTAGTACTTTAGTCTCAATAGTTGTCATATGTTATTATTAATTTCAATTTACGATGATACAAAGTAGAGAAAGACAACGGCTAAACGGCGCTAAACCTTTGTATAGATTATGTAAATCAAAGAAGGTACCCTTCTTTCCTTTTTCTGGGAAAAAAAACAATTTCCATATATTTTTGTTTAGGTTTCGTTTTCCTTTGTCGAAAGGGGTAACTCCCAAACTTCTTTATATAAACTAAAGAACGCATACAACAATATTAATTAAACAATCCAAATCCAAATTTAGAGCTTAGCTTCATAGTCTCTCACTCTTCTTTAGTTCAATAATTGGTAGAAATCAAAACATGTCGGTAGAGAAACACGAGACTCAGATCGAACTCACGAAACAACTTTCGAGTCAGACCAACGACGAACTCTACTTTCTTCCTCCAACATTCGACTCTTTGCGATCACCATCGACGACGACGATGATGAAACCCTAGACCAGAAGAATTCGAAGAGAGACGACCAAATCGATTCTCCGACATTTAACTCCTTGGGATCATTACCCTCTACTGATGCATTCATCGTGAACGACGAGGAGAAGGAAACCCTAGAGCGAAAGAAGAATAAAAAGCTAAGATTAGAGTCTTGGTGTGACGAAGCTGAAGACTTCAACGAACTAACTAGCGTAGTGAAGGGGTTACCAAAGGCGAAGGAAGACAATGATGCTCAATCAAGAGTGGATCATCACGAGAAGAAGAAGGACGACGAGAGATCATTATCAACAAGCCGTCATGATAATAATTTTATTGATTTGAGCAAGGACAAGAGTGTCGGTGAGAGTACTAGTAGTGGTAATAAGGGTAATGAACACGTGTCCCTTGAGGAGCTGGGTGTTTCGGTGGAAGATCTCAAGATTATGCCATGGGGAGCGTTTGATCCAACATGGGAGATTAGGTCAGAAACGATGGATCCATGGCTTGGTAGCTACGTCAAAGCCATGCGCTCTCCCCATCATTAATTCTCACACTTAATTGCTTCCTTTTTTTATTTGTTGTTTTTAGGTGACTTAATCAAAATCTAGCTTAAGATCTAATATAATCACAAAATAAAAAATAAAAATGTTGGAGTGGAATTTTCTTTCAAACCACATTCACGAATTAAGACTGAAATCTATACTATTAAAAACACACACTTTGAAAATATTCAATTTTTACCATGATATTTATAATATATGCCATTGGATTTGCTAACGAATGTTATAATTTCATTAACAATAAATTCTATATACAAATCTCACGCTTAGATTAGACCATTGTAAGTTAAATAGACTTAGTTACACTCAATTACATATTCATATTACATTTTATAGTTTAATTTATTTCTAATCGCAGCATATATGTTTTTGTTTTTCTTATGTATTTTATGTTTATTGTTTTTCAGTTTTCTAGATTCTTAGCGATTCAATGGTTAGTCCTACTTCACATACATTACTATTCCATGGTGCGGGATCAGGATCAAACAATACATCTAAGAATCAATTTCCGCATAGGTTTCTCTGCACAGCACATTGTAATGGTCAACCATCTCTTTCTAAAGGTCTATAATTTTGTGAATCCGATAATCCAGGCTTTACAATATATTTCTATCATCAGATTTCATGGAAATACATCACATACGTTCCTGAATGTAATGAGGTTTTGTTAGTATCTTATTGTTTAATACAAAACGAGTTTGATTTACGTATACATATCTTACTAAACAACTTATTTGTATTGTTTTTGCAAGGTTGGGAATCTAAATTTCATAAGTTATTCTGGAGGCAGCTCAGCAATCTTAAGATTATGAATGAGATAATTAGATTAGCGCCGACCCCAATAAATTTACTAAAACCGGTACAAACGCCTGGACCCATGCATTTTGTTGAGAGCTAAGATGAGTTTTGAATTTCTTAGATTTAAAAATCATCAAATTAATTATTATTATTATGAAGATTAAGTTATTCAAATTTTTTTAGTTCTTAAATAATTTTCTTAAGTTATTGCATAAATCATCTCAAAATTAGGAATTATAATCTTTTTTTTTATCAAAGGTTTAATATTGAAAGACAAAATATCTATAAAGGCCCATTGGACTTAAAGATAAGATAGCTGTTTTTGCAAGCCTGTCTGCCACAAGATTAGTAGATCGGGGAATAAAGTTGAAAGAAAGGGAATAGAAGAGAGGAACAAGGCTCTGTATGTCTACGAGGATGCCTGCGATCTCTGTCAGTTCCACCCCGTCAAGAGGGTGTTGATAAGAACTTCCGAGTCCAATTGGAGATGAAGGTGTCAGATCTCCACCGAGATGGCTTCGCAAAGTGCAGCTAGAACCGCCAAGGCTTCCGCTACGATGTCTGAGGAGACAATGCGTCGCGAAGATGAGTTTTCTAAGATCACGCCTCCCCGGGGGTCTGAGATGATCCAGCCCATCCCTCCAATTCGTGAATCTGCTAGCCATGCACCATATGAGCAGCAGATCGACGCCGCGGGGGAGGGAGGGATGTTCTTCGGTCGAAGGGGCTTCGGGTGTGTCAGGATTGAAGGTAGATTGGCTGAGTGCCACATTGTCGTTTCCTGAGAGGCTTTATCTACCAGCTCAAGCGCTGAGTAACTCGTTCCCTCGAAGATCAGCTTGTCTTTGGAGGTCCAGAGAAACCAGAGAATCCAAGGGTAGAGAGGAGTCTCCTTCAGGGCTGACGAAAGCTGGTTTTTGGAGTTGTAGAGGGAGCGAAGGAGGCCTCTAGCGTCCATGTCTGTCGGGAGGGTCTCCGGGTTCAACGTTATGGGAGTTGATCTCCAAACTTTTTTTGTGAAAGGGCAATCATACCAAATGTGTGAGATTGACTCCTGTTCCCCACATCTTGCACAGCACGCATTGGCTTCTAAACCCTGCTAGAGAAGATTAACTCCCACAGGGAGTGCTCCATTTGTTGCTCTCCAGAGGTGATTCTTGATCTTGTTTGATGTGCGGATGTTCCATACATATTGGTACCAACCAAACTTTGTGTTTCCGATTTGATTGAAGCTTTTTTGGAGGTTGTACCCTGTTTTTGTTGAAAACATTCCTGATGTTGCAGGTAGCCACACCAAATTTTCCGAAGGTTTCGTTTGTACTCGGGACTAGAAGTCTGATGGTATCCTCATATTGAGGTAAGTGAGTTTAAATAGCCTCTAGATTCCAGCTGTTTGAATCGTGATGCAGTAGGTCTTTGATAGTTAGGCTTGCGTTCGATCGTGTAGGTGGCCCCATAGGTGCTTGAGGGTTAACCGTCGAGAGCCAGAGCTCGGTCCAGACATTAATATTGTGACCGTGCCCCTATCCATCCCAGGCCTTTGAACTTTCCGGCCTTCCAAGATTCCTCTCCAGCCGTGAGAGGCTCCGACATTGCAATCCACTTCCATAAAGCTTTTGTCTTGGCAATATTTTCTTATCAGAACCTTTGCGAGTAAGCTAATCTTGTTTTTGAGAATTTTCCAGCTTTGCTTTGCTAGAAGGGCTACATTGAAATCCTCTGTCTCCCTGAAACCTAATCCCCACGCTCTCTTTGGTTGTGAGAGCCTTTTTCAGGCTACCCATGAGATCTTTTCTTTCTCCAGAGAGGAGTCCCAGAAGAACCTTGTAAAGATTGATTGGATTCATTTACCGAGGGACTTGGGAGCAGGAAACACGACATCGTGTAAGTTGGTAGGGCTGAGAGTACCGCTTGAAGTAGGACCTTCTTACGAGCGTCCGAAAGGAAGCGAGTGGACCAGCTATGGGACCTTTGTCTTATTCTGTCAATTAAACCCTTTATACATCCCTCTTCTGTCTTCCAAATGATTCAGGCAAGCCAAGGTATTTTCCAGGACCTCCTTCTTTGGTTATCCCTAGTGATTTTTTCACTCTTTCTTAGATCTCTGAGGGTGTTTTTGTGGAGAAAGTGATTGACGATTTGTCAAAGTTGATTCATTGACCTGATATTTGTTCATATATCCCCAGGGTTGGGTTAGCTCTTGACAAGGCTTCATTGGTTATGCATAAGAACATGGTATCATCCGCGAAGAAGAGATGATTGATGTGGGGGCTACGCCGAGAAACTTGAATTCCTTTTAGTCTTCCTGATTCCTGAGCTTCTCGACAAAAACCGGAAAGGACTTTTGTGCAAATGATGAAGAGGAATGTGGAGAGGGGATCTCCTTGTCTAAGACCTCTCGTGGGGAGAACTTTGCCATTCGGGGACCCATTTATAAGAAATATGTAAGACAATGATGTGACACAGGCCATAATCCAGTTCACAAACATTTGGTGGAAGCTTAGACACTGAAGAACCTCTCGAAGAAAGCCCCACTCTATGCGATCGTAAGCTTTGCTCATATCAGTTTTTACAACCATTGAACACCTTTTAGTGGCTTGTGACATTTTTAAGTAATGCAGGGTCTCATGTGTGATGAGCACATTGTCAGAAATGGCTCTGTCAGAAACGAAAGCTGACTGATGCTCCGAGACAAGAGTGCACAGTAGAGGTTGCAGGCGGGTAGTAAGGATCTTTGCAATGTTTTTGTAGCGTACATTGCACAGAGCTATTGGTCGATACTCCAAGGGAGTTTTGGCTGCTGAAGTCTTTGGAAGGAGGCATACGTGGGTGTCATTCGGTTAGCTTCCATTATCTCCGTGGAGAAGAATCTCTTTATATCCTGACTAATGTCTTCTCCTATAATGTTCCAAAAGGATTGGTAGAAGTCTGCCGAGAAGCCATCCGGTCCTGGTGCTTTGTCCGCGTAAATAGCAAAGGCTGCCCCTCGAATCTCCTCATAAGAAGGTAAAGAAATCAGACTCTTGTTCATTTCCAAGGTAACCTTTGTCCGGAGAGCTTCTAACACCTCTTTGAACTCTGATGTGCCATTTGAGGTGAAAATTTCTTGGTAGAATGTCGAGAATACTTTTCTGATTTGGTCTTCTTCAAACACTGCATCTCCCCGGCTATTTTCTATAACCGTTAGTTGATTTGTCGATCTTCTACCCTTTGTTACAGCATGAAAGTAAGCTGAGTTATTGTCTCCACCTTGTAGCCACTGGACTCTGCTTCTTTATCTCCAAAACAGTTCTTCTACCTTGTAAGTCTTATCAAGAGCCTCCGTGATATCCTAATGACCGTGTTGTCTGGCTTTGCATCTGAAAGAGCCTCTTCCAGGGAGTTTTGCAACTTCTTCATTGGTTCGACACTGCTCCCTTGCTTATCTTTTGCCCATTTTATCAACTCTCTTCTACACCGGTTGATTTTTGTTGCAACTGTTTCAGGTTTGTCTGGATTCCAAACTTTTTTGATTATTGCTCTTACTCCTTCCATGGTACTTAAGCGCCTGTCAAAATGGAAAGGTTTCTTTTTCTTCACTTTATTGCCATCTAGTAAAGTAAGTAGGGGCTTGTGATCTGATCCCTCAAACCGCAGGTACTCGCAACGTCCCGATGGGAAGAGGTATGACCATTCGCTATTAGCCATGGTCATGTCAAGACGAGCTTAGATTAAGTAATCATGTCGCTGACCTCTCCAAGAGAGGGGATTTCCTGTGTGTTTAATGTCCCAGAGAAAATTTTGAGACACGAAGCTTCTGAATAGGATGAAGGAGCCTTCACACTTTGTCGTGCCTCCTACCCTTTCAGCATTTTCTAACATATCATTGAAGTCTCCTGTTAGACACCATGCTGCTCCCCTGTCTCTTCCTAGGTGTAAGATGATCTCCTAGAACACAGTTCTGTTTTCTCTCTGTGGGGGTCTGTATATGAGGGTAAGGAAGAAACTAGACCCTTTTGAAACAACTTTTGTGTCGATGTAGTTGGCGGAAGATGCTAGGGTAGTAATAGAGATCTCTTTCTTCCAGAGCAAGGCAAGACCTCCACTCGATCCTACAAGGGGTACAGTGAAGTGGTACTCTTATCCCATCCATTGAAGTGCCGGTAATGTTTTATCATCTTGGTTCTTTGTCTCTGATTTATCATATTGGTTCTTTGTCTCTGATAAGAATAAGATTTCGGGGAAGAGGAAGTTCCTTATTTCCCTCAACCGGTGGCATATCAGGGTAGCCCCGGTCCCTTGACAGTTCCAGCTCAAAAGAGCTAAGGGAGAGGGCTTTGGGGGATCTGAAAATCCGCCCCTATTTTCCTCAACCAAGGGTTAGCTGCTTTGGAAGTCTGGCCTCTGTCCTCATTGTGAGGTAATTCTTCTTCCACCGTAATCTCTGTTTGGACTAAATATTTTCGTATTGCTGTTGTGCTTCGTGTGGTGAGTCTCTTTGGCGAGCAAGCTCCTGGGAGTGGACTTTGAGTTGCTTTCCCTTTCCCTCATGTTGTTTTACTTTTTGTAATAGTCCTTGACGTTTGCGCTGTTTTTTTTACAGGTAGTTTCTGGGTTTTGCTCTTCGTTTTCCCTGATCTCCAAGCCTTAGGGAAGGGTGGAGGCGTTCCCCTGTCGAGAGGATTTCATTTGGTTGTCCTCCCAATATGTCATCATACTGGATTTCCACCTCTTGGAATCTGCCAGAGAGGAGACTAGAGCCTCCGGTTCTTCCTTGGGACATCTCTGGATTTAGTGGAGATATTCTATCCAGTGCCGAGCGCCTGTTCGGAGTTAAGCTGTTAACTTCTCCCGTTTCTGCAGTAGGCGGTATGATCATTGCCTCCCTTGGAGGGTTTGGCGGTAGAGTATGGGAGGCTAGGGTTCTCTGAGAAGCCTGAGGGGAGAAACGGTAGAGATTTCTTTAGGAGTCAGAGTGAATCTTGGGGGGTCTTTCTTTAGGGTTATGCCCGAGTGGCTTCATGCCTTGGAGAGTGGGATTCTCTCTAACAGCAGGGTTTGTCACTCGGCTGATTAGTGTGAACTTGTTCTCCTCGATGAGAGATTGATAACCTCATAATTTACCATGTTTTACCATATATTTAGTTTAGTTTTTTGTCTCTTTCATGCATTCATTCATCATGTTTTGCTCCATTTGCATTCATATTAGACATACTAGGTTTTAGGTTAGACATTTGCATGTTTTGCATTGTTTGGAGTCTTTTTGAGGTCTAAATAGAGCAAGAAAGACATTTGGAGAATGGTGAATGATGAGGACGTGAAGAACCAAGTATAATGGCCAGGATGACGGGTTTTAGGCTGCACCAAAGTCTTGTATCGACCAAAGCTGAGAGAAACCTGCCCGATATGCATGTCGATATGCAATGTATGGGTCCGAACCAAGGTCTTCTGGTGCGATTAAGCCTTCACATCCTTCATAGAAGTTGTAAAGGATCGAATAATATTTTCAACGGAGGTCGAATCAAGTCAATCCGGTCAGTGGTTCAAAAGATACGACGGTTTCATCTTCACACGCCCGCAACCAGAATGATATACCGAGCAGTGTATCGACCAAGACCTCCTTCCTCCTGCTCGATATGCATTAACCGGAAAACCAAAGTTGACTATCTTTGACTCTTTTTTTTTTCTAAGGCTATTATAGGGATGTCCCGTATAAATAGCAAACCCTAAAACCAATCTTACTTATCCTTTCTCTTCCCCAAAGCTTTGCTTTGGTTTTTCAATGAGCTAGAACAATCCCTTTGTGGGATGAGATTGGATCACATGTATATACTTTTACTTTAAGGTTTCTTCTTTTAGTCTTTATTCTCTTAGTCTTGCTTTCTTATTTTGCTTTAGTAATTTTGAATTTCTGTTTTTAGCCTTTGAGATTCTTGGTTTTTGAAGAACAAAAGTGTTTTCAATGATTGTTTAAGGTGTCAGAATGTTGGATCTTTGATTATCTCTTCTTGTGTGACAGTTCTTAATGCTTAGTACCTCTTTGTTGGAGAAGTTGATCTTAGTTTTTCATTTGCATTCTAAGTGTTTGATGAAATGCTTGAATGAAGTTCAATGCTTGAAAATGGTGTTTAGATAATCATGATTCTTTGCATCTATCATTTCTAGATTGAATGTGCTTTATGCTTAGTACCATATTGGTGGGAAATTGCTTTTTAGGCATTGATTATGCATGAAAATGTGAGTTAATGTTAGTTCTATTGCACAAGAGATTAGTAAACCTAGCATAGGAAACTAGATGTCTAGCATGATTTTTGGCTCTATGGACTTTGATTCTAATGCTTGCTGATCATGTATTTTAGTAATGGAAGTTATCTTGAATATGTGCTTAGAAAACGGATTAGTATCAAGGAATTGAGCTAGTCTATATTAGTAGTCCTTGCCTAGAGATTAAAGCACTGATTGTTTCTTTCACCTTGATCATGATTTAGATTCACCTTGTTAATCATTAATCTTGATTCTCTGTTTTCAAGTCTGCATTTATTGTTTTAGGTTGTTAGATTAGATTTCATTTCTTTGATTAGGCCTAGCTTAGCAAGTTTTCTGCATCTTGATTGTTCTTTAGCCTCTGGATTGTATTGATAGCCTCTTGTACTTCAATGACATGATTTTAAACTTGAGGAATTGAGTCACAAGACCTAAAAAGTCCTGTATCAGAGATGAGCTGTCGCTCTCAGGGATTTGGATAGGGGTACGACGCTCTGAGGCCGAGAGAGAAGAAATCCATTTCCCTTTCTCAGCAGTCGAGTAACGGTGAGACATCTTGACTTTACTTTGGTCTTTGAAAGGAGAATAGTGATTCTTGCGGTTTACTGGTTGAGAAAGACTAGCAACAGGCGAGCGTTGTATGCTTAAGACTTGCTGGACTCAAGATGTAAAGGTTCCCCACTCTAAGGTAAAGCTTGGTTATACTCTGTGTTCTTATAGAGGTCCTGCTTAGGTTGAGAGGTGAGGTGAGGCTTCTCCCTTACCCGCCAGACATTTACTTTGCGAAGTGCATAATGATGCTATCTTATGGTGTTTGGGTTTCAGGGTCTGGTTGGATGGAGGTGGTGATACAAGCATGGAGTCCACCAAGCTTATAACACGATTTCAAGATCCGCAGCTTCAACGGATGATGAAGGAGTTGCTGAATGATTCCACAATCAGCACTTGAACAAGACAACTTGATTCTACAAGTGATCTAGACAAGGGGGAGGGGGGGGGGGGGGGCGAAAGCACCACAGAAAGTATAGGAAATTCTCTGATAAAGCAAAGCTGGCACAGCTCTAAGTGATTCCACACAAAGAACAACAGCAAAAAGATTCAACAAGAACAATCTTGTATAAAAACAAAAACGGTGTTTATTTTATTAATCAAAAGTTAAATATTAGATTGTTATGAGAGGGGACTTTATAAACAGTCCAAAGAGATATGCCCTTATAGGAGACTTTAAAGCAAATTACAATGAATGAAAACTACATTATTGGTGCTAATTTCGTGGCTAACAAATGCCTTAACTACTGAATAAAATCAAAATAAAAGCTAGACCAAAAGAAGATCACAAAAAGAGAAACACAAAGAGTTAGTCATTGCTGCCTCCATTCTCCTTGGTTTGAAATGCCAAAAACTCAAAACAGCAAGACTTTAAAAAGAAAACTACAAGGCATTTAAAAATACAGAAAAGAAAAGTTTGCTAAAATAAAAACAAAATTATCTAAAATATTTCTCTCCTCACTGAGCTTTGAACCGTGGCCTCTTGCAGCTCTAAATACCACTGTGACACTGTGGATTACTTGCACAGATTCATAATGGAAAGATCTTATCCGATTTGTGCTCAAATTGCCTTGTTTTGAAGCTGGAATGTTCAGGGAGAATATTAGTCCGTTCAACTTGGATTCTTTGAAGAATTCTTCCTCTTGAGTCTTCTTAAAGTCAAAATGGTTAAAAACTCCAAGTGTTTCCCCGTGGTTATCTTTAGTTTTTACTTCTTACTCCATTTTTTCTCTATCGGCTCCATAGCTTATTTTGGGGATATCTTGAAGCTCCAAAATGATCTCTGAGAAATTCTTGGTGCCTTGAACTCCATATCCTGTCAAGTAAACATTCTTACCTTGATTGGTTCGAGGCTGAGCCTTCTTGATCCTTGAAAGTGCAAAATTCATCTTTATGTCTCATTCAAGTGCCTTGGAGCTCTCTTTGATAGATACATGGTCTGATAACCTCATTAGGTGGTGATCTCTCCATGGTGCTTTCCAACTGGTGACGGCAGCCCTCAGACCCAGAGGTGGGTGTGGAACTACGGTGGTGCTGTTCCCATGGTAGGGCAGATTTGAAAACATTCTATTTTGGGTAAAGAAAAGTAGTGGTTGGAGATTAGAACAGTTAACGGACCAGGGGTAAGGGACCTTTCTCGAAAAACGGGGCAGAGAGCGTTTTCAGATTTTACACACAAAAAAGTTTGCAACCCTTAATTCATTGAATATAGCATCGAAGTCTACGAATAACTTTGTACATTTTAGGAGACGGTTCTAAGACTTTTCGTAGCAATAGCTAAATGACATCTGAGATTTAGAATCATATACATAAATGAAGTTACAAAAATCTGTTAAGTTAAGAAAAAATATGAGATTTAGGAATCAGAAACTAAGAAGATCTAACTGGCAGCCAAGACTCCGACTTTTAACCATAGCTAATCAGCCTATCACAGTTACCTTTATGTCTCCCATTAAACCAGTTAAAACCTAAAAAGTGATATCAGTGCAGAAGACAAACGAAAATAAAATAATATTGGAGAACCTCAAAAGCAACCATTAAACGAACAAAATCTTTGGAAATAAGAAAATAGACTAATCACTAAAAGAGATTTATCACATAAATTTAAACCATACGGATAATTAAATGCAAACACAAAAATGCTTAATTTTAGCCCCTTTTCTTTAGAGTCCCAAGAGACTAATCTGTTGACAGTTTTTATCAACAGACTCTTTCACAGCATCAACCACCATTTGTGTCTTCCTGATAATGCTAGGCCAAAAGCCATCAGGCTTTGCACCATTGTTCTTGATTTCTCCAACCAACCTAGCAAATTCTCTCACCATACACTCCTCTTGCGGTAACCCTGTCTTAATTATATGCTCACTTGGGGGATTAACCCAAGCAGTCACTGCCTTATTGAACCAACCTTTAGTGCAAGTGGTGAACGATGCCTCGGTCTCTTGAAACGGGATAACAAAGTCGTGAACACGAAGCATGCCTTTTGTTCCAATGGCTGTTATCTCCATTGTTAGGTTTTCCAAGAAAGAGCAGTGTATGGTTGCGGTTCGTCCTTCTTCCCAGCTCAGAGATGCTCCACATGTTAGAATCACTCCTGGCTCGTTTAGGATGGTGCTGCCTGGAATGGCCGTGGCGGTTTTAGGAAGCTCGAAGTTGTTGGCGAAAAGAGTTGCTCGGATTGCGTACCATCCAAGGTCTCCGAGCGCACCAAGACCATCAAGATCCGGTTTAACACGGATGTTGTTTTCCAGGAAATCTTCGTCTCCAGCAAGTGTGAAGCAACTATGTACCTGTAGTTTCCAATAACGAGTAGAAAGAAAGATTTTCAAGAGAGAGTTCTTGACACTATTTAAATCTTCAAGAAAACAAAAATCACAAAAAACCATTAACAAAATAAAAACAAAAACCACAAATGTTATTGTTAGAGGGGAAATGAGCACATTTCCTAAAATGCACTTCTCCGCAATAACTTAAGCCCATCAAGACCAGGAAGACCGCACTGACCTAGCTCGGATTTAAAGAAATCTCTTGAGGATAACCTTTGAAGACCGGAAACATCGGCTTAATTCAAAAGATAAAGGAGAATTTCCTTATTCCTCGGAGAATAAAAGATATTTTCATATTTATGATATGGAAATATACACAAAGACAAAAAGGAAAAGGAGTTCGGAGCAACCGACCTCTCATCCCTATAAATAAAGAGGACCTCGAAGCCAAGAGGATCATCCAATACATTCTAGAGAGCAATAGAGCTAAAACCAGAGACTCCAACACTTTCTAGTTTACTTCGCAAACACCTTTTTCACTTCGGCATAACCTCACGGTTATCCCTTTCTTTGTAATTGCTTCGCTTATTACTATTAATAAAAAGACCTTATTCTCCGAGACCCACAACTGTTAATCAAACCCTAGTGGTGATTTTCTGGTTCAACAGTTGGCGCCGTCTGTGTGGACTAGGAGAATAACTTCTTAAAAACCAAGTAAGAAAGCCGAAGCAATGAGCCTCCCCGTCGACAACAGCGATCTCATCCGCAACGACGATGACACCACTCACACCGAGACATCCGCTCTCGGTGAACGTACGAACATCACTACCGCGAATCCACCCGCGGTAGCACCCCCAGCTCCCCTCCAAGCTGCAGACCTCGCTGCAGTTATCCAGGCCACCATGATATCACCCATAGGAAAACGCAAACAAGCAATCACCAACAGTACCCACATGATTTTAGGAGGAATATTCCACGATCCCAGCTCGCTACAAGAAATAAGACAACACGAAGAAAAAGCAGCGGCAGCAAAGCGAGATCCACCCATCCCAAGATACGAGACATTAATAGAATTCACAACGGAGGATCAACATAGCTCGCACGAACCGCACTTCGACCCGCTAGTCATAACTTTACAGATCCATGACAGCACGATCGCCAAAGTCCTGATCGACGGTGGGAGCACAGTCAACATCATATTTGAAGACACACTATCAATGATGCATATTGATAAAAACAAGATAATATAAATCAGAAAACCATTGACCGGATTTGCAGGCGACACTTCTTACAGCATCGGTTCGATATACCTAATCACTTACGTCGGCGGCATGACTAGAAAGGTAGAATTCGCAGTCATCAACTGCCCGACCATCTGCAATGCCATCCTTGGAACACCGTGGATTCATGCCATGAAATCCATCGTCTTGACGTACCATCAATGCATCAAGTTTCCAACCCCAACCGGTGCATTCACACTTCAGGGCGACCAGTCATCAGCACGAATGTGCCTTCTCAACGAAAGAAAAATCAGATCGGCAACCACCTGCATGGTGAATGAAGACCTAGACCCGCGTCTCCCCTTCCATAAAAGGCCAAAGCCCAAGCGAGTTATACAGGTAAGCATCGATGAGCAACACCCGGAGAGACTTTCGAGCATTGGAGGTGACTTTACAGAAGATATAAAGACGGAACTCGTCAAACTTTTACGCGACCATGTGCATCTGTTCGCCTGGTCCATAGAGGATATGAAGGGAATCGACACCAGGATCACTTTGCACAAACTAAACGTAGACCCTACGTTTAAACCTATCAAACAAAAACGCAGAAAGCTCGGCCCCGAGAAGGCATAAGCTGTGACTGACGAAGTGGAAAAATTGCTCGGCGTTGGATCAATTACCGAGGTTCAATACACAGACTGGTTAGCCAACCCCGTCGTGGTCAAAAAAAAGAATGGCAAATGGAGGGTCTGCATCGACTTCACCGATCTCAATAAAGCGTGTCCAAAGGACTGTTTCCCGCTTTCACATATCGACCGACTGGTCGAATCGACAGCCGGAAACCAGCTCTTATCTTTCATGGACGCCTTCTCAGGATATAATCAGATCTTTATGCACCCCGATGATAGAGAAAAAACAGCTTTCATCACGGATCGCGGAACATACTGTACTAAGGTCATGCCTTTCGGACTGAAGAACGCAGGCGCTACATACCAACGATTGGTCAACAAGATGTTCGCAAGTCAACTCGGCCGAACTATAGAAGTTTACATTGACGATATGCTAGTCAAGTCCGCGATCACCAAAGATCACGTCGGCCACCTCATGGATTGCTTTAAAACCCTTGAGAAATACGAAATGAAGCTAAATTCAGCCAAATGCACATTTGGCATAACCTCAGGAGAATTCCTAGGTTACGTTGTCACTCAAAGGGGGATAGAAGCAAATCCAAAGAAAATATCAGCAATTGTGGACCTCCCATCGCCAAAAAAATACACGTGAAGTACAACGTTTAACCGGCAGAATTGCCACTCTAAACAGATTTATCTCGCGATCAACGGACAAATGTCTACCTTTTTATCAATTACTTTGAAACAACAAACACTTCGATTGGGACAAAAAATGCGAAGAAGCATTCGCACAGCTGAAGCAATATCTAACCACCCCGTCAATATTAGCAAAACCAGAGGATGGCGAAACTTTATACCTCTACATCGCAGTCTCAACAGCAGCAGTAAGCGGCGTCCTTGTTAGAGAAGACCGCGGCGAACAGAAACCGATTTTCTACATTAGCAAGACTTTGGATTGAGCCAAAACCTGCTATCCAGCCTTAGAAAAACTCGCTTATGTAGTAATCGTCTCGGCGCGGAAACTACGACCCTACTTCCAATCTCACTCCATCATCGTCTTCACCAGTCAACCACTTCGAAGCATTCTGCACAGTCCGAGCCAATCTGGTCGGATGGCTAAATGGGCGATAGAACTTTCGGAGTATGACATCGAGTACCGTGCTCGAACCAGCGCCAAATCTCAAGTTTTAGCGGATTTCATGATCGAGATACCACCGGATCTACTAGATGGGGAATCACCTACAGAAAGCCAATGGAATCTTTATGTGGACGGAGCATCTTCAAAACAAGGGTCAGGAATCAGTATCTGTTTGAAGTCACCAACCAGAGAAATTCTTGAGCAATCCTTCAAACTCAGTTTCCCCGCTTCAAACAATGAAGCTGAGTAAAAACAAAACATGTTCACGCCTTCTGCGATTCCCAGCTCATCGCCAGCCAATTTAGAGGAGATTATGACGCAAAAAAACGAACGAATGGACGCATATCTTAAACAAGTCCAAGAAATAGCAAAACAGTTCGACTCCTTCGAACTAACCAAAATTCCGCGAGCTGAAAATACCGCCGCTGACGCACTGGCAGCATTGGCATCCACAACGGATCCTGCCCTACGTTGAACAATCCTAGTAGAAATCATCGAACAACCCAGTATTCAGCTATCAAATGGATCCTGCAACGCAGTGTTACATACGAGGCGAACGATCCAATGGAGGAAGATGCCGAACAGCAGAAGCAGCCTTGGCAAGACGAAATCAAAGCCTACCTGTTAGAAGGGACGGTTCCGGAAGACATATGGGTAGCAGACGCCTCCGGAGGAAAGCGGCGCAATATTTCATGGAAGAAGGAAACCTATTCCGATGGACAGCGAATAAAGTAATATTGCGATACTGCAACGAGGCACATGCCAAAAGAGTCATGGTAGAAACTCATGACGGAGCAGGCAGAAATCACTCAGGAGGAAGAGCTTTAGCACTAAAAACTCAAGAAGCACGACTTATTCTGGCCCAGGATGGTCCAAGATTGCGAACAGTTTGCACTCCGGTGTGAACCATGCCAGAAATACGCTCCAGCCATTAACGTGCCTACCGAATTACTTCAGACTGCCGTTCTGCCATATCCCTTCATGAGGTGGGTAATGGACGTGATCGGCCCGATGCCCAAGACAGATTACTTTACAAAATGGATCGAGGCTAAAGCCTACCCCACCCTCAAGGGAATCGACGCCCAGCTTTTCATTTGGGAGTATGTCATATGTCGACACAGCCTCCCATATGAGATCGTCATGGATAATGGCACTCCATTCACCTCGTCTGTTTTCTAAAGTTTCTGTGAAAAATAGGGGATACGCATAAGTTATTCGACATCGTGCTACCCACAGGGCAACGGGCAAGCAGAAGCTTCTAATAAAACGATTCGCGACGGTTTCAAAAAACGGCTAAATGAACCAGAAGGACGATGGGCGGATGAGCTGGACAGAGTCCTCTGATCCCATCGAACGACTCCACGAACTGCCACCAGAGAAACCCCTTTTTCACTATCTCACGGCTGCGAAGCTTTGGCACCTGCTGAATTGCATGTACCTAGTGCCCGGCGATCCTTGATGATTCGAGATCCTCAATTGAACGAAGAAAAACTAATCGACGCAGTCGACAACGCGGAAGAGCTTCGTGACAAAGCCTTATTACAAATTCAAAATTACCAGCATCAAGTTTCTAGGTATTACAACAAGAAAGTCCGAAGCCGACTATTCTCACTTCACGACCTCGTCTTACAAAGAACCATAAACCCATTAAAACTCGAGCCGAATTGGGAAAGACCATATCGCATTACAGAAGTCGTCAAACCCGGCGTCTACAGACTGGAAGACATGAAGGGCGAGCCAGTCGAGCGAGCTCGCAACTCCATGAATCTAAGGAAATATTATACTTGAAAACCATAAACTCGGCAAAGAATGTACTACTAAGAACTACAGATGACTTGATCCCACTTCGGATACGTAGGCAGCCTTCGGGTTCAGTCGCTATCTTAATAAAATTACTTTCATAGAACTTTCTCAGCTCGGCAAAAAGAGCTATATGCGAATGCATCTTGCTGAATCGATGTTCTGGCCAAACATTCGATTCAACGAAAGCAAGCAAACTAAATAAGTGGCTGATCAACACTCATTTGACACTTCAGTTCGCTTTAATTACTTCCGAAGTAGATAAGATGAAAGCCGAGGACAATACTCGCACGACTCTCGATCATACCTTTCGGACCAAAGTAAATTTTGAAAGCTTGGTATTCGATCCTGAATGTCGTTTGGTATAAGACGAGCTAATGAATCTCGCGTCCAGCACCGGCTTAAAGAATGCCCACGCACTGCAAGACAAAAAAAAAATTTTAACTTCGTAAAAACTTTAGAATTAAGGTCTAACTCGTCAAAGACAAAGTACGAAACACAATAGGTAAATTTTTATCTATTAATAAAAAGAAACGTCTTTTTGTCTTACAGAAAAAACAACACAAAAACAATTACAAAGCCCTACGCTGCTTCGGCAACCGAATCCCTGCTGCCACTAGTTCCGCATCCGAAGGTCGCATTTGAACACGCGAAGGCGCAGCGAAATCGTTTGAGGAAATTGGAGCATCCTTCATATTGTGACGCTCCATCTTTAAACGGTCAGCCGCGGTGGAGTGAGTCAAGAACTCTTCAACCGGAATCTCATGCTCTGCCGACCTGAGCTGCTTATAGCAACCCGCCCTCGCCTCGGCATCGACGATCCGAAGTTCCAGCCGATAAATATCGGGCTCTTGCGTCATGAATTTCTTAATATGCTCGATGCAAGGATCATACCATTCACGGAGGCGCCGATACATTAAATCCACCACGCGATCAACCGAGACATGCTGATGATCTCGAACTCTTTTTCCTTAGCAGCCGCGTTCTTAACTTCCTCAGCCGCCTTCTTCTCGAGACTCTCCTGGAGAAGTCTTACCTCTTTGGCAGATTCAATCTCAAGCGCCTTGTAGTCAAGCTCTAACTTGAGTTTCTCGCGCTCAAGATCCTTGATCTTCGCCAAAGCACCAAAAAGCTCTTGATCTTTTTCTGATAACTCCTCGGACTTATTCTCCTCCCAAACGGATTCTTTATCGTACGATTCGACCAAAGACGCGCATAAACTTAAACCCTGCATAAAACATCGCACCATCCCAGAAAAAATAGTGAATCGCTTCAATTTCTCCACTGACATTCCTTGGTTAGGCTTCGCCCTACACAACCAAGCCAAATTTGCTGTGAAGTACTCATCGAACATTGCCGGAGAATCCCCGCCCCCAACAAAGCAGAAATTCGTGAGGATTGAAGTCGGGCTCATCACCAGTATCCACCGGTTTTTTCGGTAAAATAACTTTCGGATCCGATGGACTAAAACCTTGCTCTTCGGCCGTCGCAAAAAAGCCCTCTCCTTCGATCGGCAACTCTACCCCTGAATTTTCTACTGGAATTCCTGAAGCTAACTGCTCCTTCATAGGATCTTGCGATGGACCTTCCGATCTAGGCTTCTTGCACGGAGAAAAATCAGGAATATCCACATCCAGCAAGGGAATTTTGCTTCTTTTCTTTAAACTCATTTCGCCTTCAAAAATTGAAAAAAAGTCAATGGTTCAAATCGACGCAGAGAAGGAGATTTTCTAAAGCAAGAAGACGAAGAGGTAAAAGTAAAGTAAATAAAAATCAAAAAAAATATCAACAGTTTCCTAAAAGGAAGCGTGTCAGGATTTTTACAATCTCGCTTCTTGGCAAAACCCTTCGCATTTCCTGCTTAAAAGCATAAACCCTAATGGGCCAGAATATTAAAATATTTCTGAAGAAGCACCACGTGATAAATCCACTTGAAATCGGGCCGAGCTGGCCATCACAAAACGAAGCTCGAGCTGGCCATCACAAAACGAAGCTCTCGACGAGCTGACAGCTATTGCGAAGTCAAACCCATCTCTAACTTCATGAAGTCCGCCGACCTGATTTACAATCAGTTTCGCCGAACTGGGGGGGGGGGGGGGGGGGGGGGGGGGGGGTCTTCCCCGCAATAACCTAAGCCCATCAAGACCAGGAAGACCGCGCCGACCTAGCTCGGATTTAAGGAAATCTCTTGAGGATAACCTTTGAAGTCCGGAAACATCAGATTAATTTAAAGGATAAAGGAGAATTTCCTTATTCCTCGGAGAATAAAGGATATTTCCATATCTATGGAAATATATATAAACACAAAAAGGAAAAGGAGTTCGGAGCAACCGACCTCCCATCCCTATAAATAAAGAGGACCTCGAAGCCAAGAGGATCATCCAATACATTCTAGAGAGCAACAGAGTTAAAACCAGAGACTCCAACGCTTTCTAGTTTACTTCGCAAACACTTTTTTCACTTCGGCATAACCTCACGGTTATCCCTTTCTTTATAATCGCTTCGCTTATTACTATTAATAAAAAGACTTTATTCTCCAAAACCCACAATTGTTAATCAAATCCTAGTGGTGATTTTCTGGTTCAACAGTTATAGTTATATATGTTGTTTTCTGATGTGAATCTCTGGAAACTGTGGAAAAATTACACAAGCCACAAACTTATTATCGAAATGGGATATTTTCTATGAAGCAAAACACTTTGGCTGTGAAAATCGAAGATATGTGAATTTCTATTTCTTTGCTTGGTTTTTTTCATTTTTGGGTACCACACTTTCCGGATTTTCTAATGGGTATAAAACATGATACTATTTCGACTAGCCAAATTTAAATGGTTTGATAAGTTTACATTTGAAGGGAATACAATGCAACTGCCCAAGAAGTTGGAACCACTAATGTACTATCACTTGCATTTTTTTTTTTTTTAGAAATCCACGTAAAAGATTGGAGTTTATTTTTTTCAAAGAAAATAGGAAATGTAAGAAGAAAATCTAGCTATTTTCGCTTGTAGGAAAACTAAAATCTTGAAATCTCTGATTAGATGCTTAATCATCTTTCTAAAAACAAAAACCAAAAACTCCCTTAAAACTTTTGGTCAAAAAACAAAAAAGATCACTTAAAACTACTACCATGCAGCAATTTAATTTATGAATTAAAAATCACTTAAATAGAGTAGCTAGTTGTTAAAATATGAGAAACATCAACTACATTTGTTTCCAACTCTATAACGCTAATCAAAGAACAAGAGCTATTCAAATTTAACAGCAAAAAATCTTTCCAAACTAATCACACATGGAGTACTTACATTTTTGAGCTGGCCAAAACGTTCTGAATCAAAGAGGAACTCCTTAAGCTTAGCCGTTCTAGGATGATGAGCCCACATAGTACCATCCATAATTTGAACACCATTAGTCTCACAAGCCAAAACAATCTTATCAAACTCAGCCACATTCATCGCCACAGGCTTCTCAAGAAGTATGTGCTTCCCTTTCTCAGCGGCACGTATAGCCCACTCAACGTGGAGGCTAGTAGGGAGAGGGATGTAAAGAGCATCAACCTCTGAATCTTCAAGAATCGATTCATAAGAGCCGTAGATCTTTGCTGATTCAGGGTAGCCATTGGAAGAAGCAAACAGTTTGGCTTTCTCTAAAGACCGGCTTGCAACGGCGGCGATAACGGCGTTTGGAGCTAGCTGGATGGCACGTGAGACCTTGCGAGCTATCTCGGCGCATCCCATTACTCCGATTCGGATTGGCTGCATTTCGGTGTCCATAGTCTCCGGCGAGAGATGAGAGAGAGAGAGAGAGAGAGAGAGAGAGATAGATAGCTGAGCAAAGACAATACATATGTGGAGCTTTAAGACAATAGTGAAGAGGAAGAGATCACCTACCAAAGAAGTAGAAAATTATTAGAAAACTGGAGATTTTGCGTTAATGGGAAACGTTTTTATAGAGGTTCGAGCCTACCTACCAAAGAACGTGAAAATTATTAGAAAAATAACCATTTCAGATTTTATTTTTGAATTTGGTAATGATGGTTTAAATTCTTTTATTCAAATGATATTTTACGTTAATGTAAGATCACACCGACAGTTTGAAGAAGTGATGGTGCAAGTGCAACTCTAGTACGGGCATTATTGAGAATTTGATGGATTTGTGAAAACTTGGCCAAAGGTTATTCAGAGAATTCAATATTATCCACACGTTACATATATCATCAACAACCTTATTAGTTATATGAATTAGAATTTTGAATGTGATAATCAAAACATGTTTAATATTGTTTATTGCATTTAGTACGTATGCAACAATATATTTCAGTTCTTAAACAAGGCTGTGGTAGATAAAACACATCTAAATAAAATGTTTCAATTTTTTTGTCTACTAGATGCAGTGAAAATGAACTTATGACAATGTTAACAAACTTGACATTAAAATGAATTTATAGTTTTGTATATGCCACTAGGCTATGCGACGGAAATTAGTATATTTGTGAACGTAACTTTATATTATAAAATAGACTTATCATGTACGACAATGACGACGTCAAACATAGAGAATTTTGTGATTGAAGTAAATACAAGAACACAGAGAATTAGCGACTATAACAAACATAGAGAATTAGCGACTATAACAACGTCGATAAACAGTCGCAAATACACTATTTATGACTGATTTGTGATTAAAACATATAGTCGCCAAACAATGTGTCGCTAAAATTAATAGTCACAAAACAGTCGTTAATTGGCAACTGATGTGCGACTGTTCTCCAGATGTTGCGGTTGCGTTGCAATTTATTCGCTAAATTTTGCGACTGTTTTATAATTAAATTGCGACTGTTGTATATAGTCGCTAAACAGTCATAACCTTTAACGACTGTGTTGTGACTGATTTAGTGACTCATTTAATTAATCAAAACATCGAAAATATTAGTTTGTATTGCTTTTTTTACGAATTTATTATACAAAAATACTTTTGAAATTCTACAAACATAAGAAACTTGTATTAAAAACACATACAAATCAAACATGTTTTAAAAAAAAAAACAAACTTCAAAAGCAACAAACTTCAAGTTCACACATTTAAAGAAAAAAAACTCCAAAAGCAAATGAGTTAACATGCAAGTTCACACACTAAGTTCACACACTAAGGTTTTCAAGTTCAGAGAAGGAGGGAAAGATAAGGGACTTATGTTCAAACAGGATCATTGGATTGAGAGGCGAGGAAGGCGAGAAAGTTCAGGTCAGTTGCGCTGAAGTACTTCTTCACGATTGTCAAGTGCTTGATCTCTGCTTATTGCGCAGCTGCAACCCGTGAAATCTCTGCTTCATACTGTGCTTGTAGAGCTTTTTGTTCCTCTATTTTACGGCTAGCTTCCTCAAGCAGTTGTTGCAGGCTTGTGTAAGAAGAAGAGCTTGTCGGGTACTTCCGCCTTCCGTTGTGATAACTCCCTAGACTTGTCCTCTGTCGTTTGTAAAAGTAGACTGCATAAACAAAACAAAGAGTATTAGATCTTAACAGAAAAACAAAAACATAATGTCAATCTTCAAGTCAGATGATTATTAGATTGGTTATTGACAAGAGGATGAATCAAGAAGAGTAACTGACGAACAAAAACCTATAAAACTTTACCTCAATAAAAAGAGCTCATTATCTTGCTCTAGAGATAGTTGTGATCAACGCGAAGTACCGTCCGAAGACTTTTCATTCTCGAGTTCAGCCAACATAGCTTCCTTTTTCTTCTTATATTCCTCATGTACTTCATGCGCTTTGTTATCAACAAAAGTCCCATCTTTTTGTATGAGTCCTGATGAAAACTTCACGATGAAAACTTCACCAATAGTCGGCAGTCTTCCCGATTCCACTTCCTGAAATGTTAAACAATGAAAAATGATAAAAAAAAATATATGTGTCTTGATGTAACTTATCATCTCAAAGTGTATGTTGCACTACAAGAAAACAGAGAATTCGCGACAACATAAATAGTCGTAGCGTAGTCGCTAAATCAAAGACTACGACTAATTAACGACTAACTCATGTAACTTACCATCTGTTGTTCGACTTGTAAGTAAGACTTCTGCCCCCGATACGTGCTTGTGAGGACCAAGACCAATACAGTCAGACATTCGAGCTGCTGATGTGGCCGTACTCCTTGTTTTGGCTTCTTATGTGTCTCAATAGTCACACATTTGTTTCCACAGAGTATCGCCAAAATTAGCAGTTGCCAACTATCAGTCGTAAATGCAACTATTTATATCAGTCGTAAATTAGCAATTGTTTTGCGACGATAACCATTTGGTCGCAAATAAGTAGGAAAAACCATTGTAATTCAGTCACTAAATTTTGCAACTATACAATCAGTCGTAACATACGGTCGCTAATTTCCTACTTTCTTGTAATGAGTAGATAAGATACATTCTAAATAAAATGTTTCCTTTTTTTTGCTACTAGATGCAGTGAAAATGAACTTACGACAATGTTAACAAACTTGACATAAAATGAATTTATAGTTTTGTATATACCGATGAGAGGCTGTTGACAAAAAAAAAAAAAATTTTTATATACCACTAAGCTATCCAACGGAAATTAGTATATTTTATATATTATGCACAATTATGACGTCAAACATAGAGAATTCTGTAACTGAAGTAAAAGAAAACTAAATATTATTTGTCAGAAAAAAAAATTGAACCAGAATGAAACCTTGGCAAAACCAAAATTACTAATTTATGAAATACCAATTGATGGATATAAATAATCAAAAATTAATTGCTAGCCGCCGCCATTTTCTCTCTAAAAATGTTATGGTATAAAGCTTTTATTGTCCTTGCCTTTTTAACTTTATTATTAAAGCTATTTTCCTTTTTATTCTTTCCATATTTTGACGATAATGCTATAATTAATGTCAATAATAATCTCTAAGAGCATCTTCAACCCTATTTTATTTTTTAACTTCAAATGCTATTTTGAAGTAAAATTATCTCCAACTTTACTCCATTTTCAACTCCAAAATTGAGTAAACCTAAATTTTACTCCATATTTGGAGTAGATCTAAACTCTACTTCATTTTGGAGTGAGACTTTTTTATTTGCAAATTAATCATTTAGATTTAAAATAATTATATTTTATACTATTAAATATTTATAAAAAGTATTATAAAACTGGTAATTATGAATATTTAAACACTGTAATTATTCCTAAAAGATTACAAAATATAATAAACTTTAAAATACATAATAAGTGCTGAAATTAAGATAAACAATATAAATAAATTTAAGACAACAAATACAAAAAATATTAATGATAATTTTTTTAGTATTAGTAATGTTTAAATAAAAATTGCATATGCTTTTTGTGATGTTTTGTAATTTTCATTATTTGATAAATATTTAAGTTATAGTTTTTGAAAAAAATTGTAAATAATAAAATAAGTGGGATTTATTTGTAAATTTTAAAACTAAAAAGTATTTATAATAAAATTGAATAAGAATCTATTTAGATTATTCCATTTTTGGAGTACCAAATAGAAAATACATTGGAGCAAAACACAACTCTATTTTGGAGTAGAAAATGAAGAAATACATTGGAGATGGTCTTAGTATAGTAATGTATTAGCATGATTATTTTTGTTATGTAATATGATTAACACAATAACTTTATATCAATAATTAATTAACAAATGTTTCACATTGATAAATAAAATAACAATATCATACATAATCTGATTAACATGAAAATATTTATATTTTCTGGATAACACGATATTAACATGATAATTTATATAATTTATATTGTATATGAGTTAACATGCGTAATATATAATTGGTTTAACATGTATATATTTACAATTTATTAACTTGTTTAATATTTTAATTACATGATAAAAATGTTAACTTGTGTAAATAATGTTTCCAGACATATTGTTCAAGAGCATTTTACAGGATGCCACATGGGAGTGTGTCATTCATTCGGATAGTGAAGTTGTGTCTCCAAGTTTCGTCTTCTAGGGGAAAAGACAACAAGCCGTTCCGGGGTGAGAGTCTGTTCGAATCCAGCAGGCAGTACATAAAAGAATTACTCGGGACTTCAGGAGGACCAAATGTGTGGGGGGGGGGGGGGGGGGGGGAAGGTTAGATGTCTCGTCCAGGAATCGATACATCTTTATGTTTAAAATGTGAATACTTAATTATATATATAAAAAAGTAATCTCAAAAATAGACAATAAGTATATATGAATAATTTTACAATATGTATCTTAAAATTTTAGTTTTCTTTATTTTGTTCATCCAACAAAAACTAATAAAAATTAGTTTGTGGAATAATAAAAAACTATTTAGTATAATAATCAAAAATTAATGTATTGAATAATTATAAATAATTATAAATAAAATTATCTTCATATTTTATTTTAAATTGTCTTTACAAGTGCTACATAACTAGATTAATAACTAAAATAGTTATGTAACATTTGTAAAGACAATTTAAAATAAAATATGAAGAGAATTTTATTCAAAATTAGATTATTTTTTCGAGAGCAAATTTTGAGATACTCACGGGATATATAATCGTCTGGGTGTGTGGATCTGTATCTCCGAGTTTCGTTTTTTAGGGGATGAGCGATATTCAGCTCCGAGGCAGAAGCCTAGCCGGTCTTGCATACATAGGCAAACGAGTGAATCGGGCCTCTGTGTGGACCAAAAAGGGATATGTTTTCTGAAGGTTCTCTGACGCTCAAGTCAATACACGCTCTATCGGAAACTATACTTGGGAAGATGGTTAACGGTTGGATATCCCGTTCGAAGATCGTGATATCCATCTGGTGTTTAGTGGATGCAGGAATGTGAAGAATGGACCGTGAAGAGAGTGAAGTATAAACTCTCTCCATACAGGTACAAAATGAAGAATGGAATGTAAGAAAGATGTTTATCTCAGAAGGCGTTTCCTCCAAGAAATCGTGAGCGTTTCCCTTCTGTCTCGCTGCCGCACGGGGCTCGAAACGAGCTCTGGTGAGTCAGAGGTTGGAGGTTTTCCCCTCCTCCCCCTTTGGATGCAACTTGTTCTCTTTCTCTTGGATTCACCCTAATATAGCTCCTCTGAGATGTAAGGATCCAATCCCCTTCTCCTTTGGCCTTAGGCCTTTTTAATACCATTTGTTCTTCGTCATGCCCCATCCATGCGACACGGCGCAGAAGCAGACGGTCCAGTACAGCACGCCACCTGCCCAGAAACAGTCTGCTAGAGGGGTTAATGGCAGGTTTAGTGTAAGAAAATCAGCACTTTGGCGGAGGCCTGATGGCCCTATGTCGCTTCAGGATTAATCGTGGTAAAACTAGATCCAACAATTATATATTATATAAACTATTAAACCAAAAGATTGGAACAACAAAAACATTAAAAAAAAATAAAAGATTTACTTGATTGAATAGTGCTTTTTCTAATTCCATTCCACAAACTTAAATGGTGTATTTTCTAATTTTCAACCAATGTTATTCTATAATTCTTCATATTTTCACAATTACACGTGTAACAATTAAATCTTTTATATACCTTCTACCTAAATTTTTTTTTGTCAACAACCTCATTTTCCTAGAACTGTTCAGTAAGCCAACCCGGTAGAAGTGAGTTTACATAAACTAGATGATGAAGACATATTCAAGCACTCTGTGCTAGGTTATCCACATTCGTGTTATGCGCGAGTGGAATCTGTGCTATCGAAAAATAAACAAACTCCCTTCTGCTGATCTCGTATTCCTCCAAATGTATTGAATAAGCTGGTCACTCCATTGGTTTCGACACCATCTTTATCAAATCGGAACAGTCTGTAAGAAAGGTCATCTCTAATCTTCTTGCATCAAGCTTACTATGCATTGTCCAAATCAAAGCTTCTAATTCTGAATGTAGGGCTGATATACTTCGTCTTACATTCCTTGCACCCATTAAGATTCTTACATCAAGCTTACTATGCATTATCCAAATCAAAGCTTCTAATTCTGAATGTAAGGTTGATATACTTCATCTTACATTCTTTGCACCCATTAAGATACAAACTGTTCCATGTCCTTGACAGAACTAACCCAAACCTGAATTCGAATTGGATTGTTTCCATGACCCAATCTGTTTGATATGTCAATACATCCCTATAAAAGAATTCCTCTCTATTTTCTTTTATACTTTTTATATGTTTTTTCTTTAATGTTGAGATACACTTAAAAACCCCCATTGGGATGCTCTTAAACTTTGGTGAATTTATGTGAAATCAAAGAAGATAAAACAATGGAACCTGAGAAAGTGACAAGGTAAAGCTCTTATCATTATAAGACAAACTGAAAAGCAACAATGAAAACGAAAGTAAAGTATAATCGCTAGAGAGATTTATCACATCAATGTCAATTATAATTTATACGAACATCGAATCAATTCAAAGTTGCCTTTTTTAACCAACAAAAATACTCAAAACAAAACATGACTCCCTTATAAAATCTCTAGAACAAACTGACAAAAACTCAGAAAGAAATGCTTTCTTTGTTCCAACTATATATTCCAAGAAATAAGAAACTTTGCTTCTTCTTTGCACTTTTCTGAGTGATAATAATGAAACAGACGCTCATTAATCTACATGAAGTCGAAATCGTCCATAGCATCATAAGGACCAGCCACTAGATCATCATCAGGCTTATCTAGAAGAAGTTGTTTCTTCTTCCCACCTGATGAAACAATTAAAATCGTTTAATGATCAGAACAATGAACCTTTGAAACTAAGATAAGCTAAAGAGAAACTGCTACAAAGACAGAATCAACATTTGTCAATCCAAGAACCTCAGACTGAGTTATCAAGTGATTGTCTAAAGTGCACATACCAGTCTTCTTTTTGCCAGCAGCAGCTTCTTTCTCAACCTTTAGTTTCTCATTTGTTATCGCTGTAACGGACGAAGCAACTTCTTTAACATCTGCTGCCTTCATGTTAGCCACAGAGAGTCTCATGACTGTTTTGAGTAGCGCAATATAGTGATAACTTTTCTGCAAACAGAGACCAAAAAAATACATTTTTATGATTTGGGCACGAGCGTCTATTATAGCCAAAGAGAATAAAGGTATTAAGACAGAATTACAACATACCTCATATGGTTTAAGCTTTTGAGAAATCATTTCAGCATATTCCGAAAAATCACTTTCAGACTTTGGGATGAACATATCAAGTTTCTTTTCATCAATCTTCGTTCCAAAGAGTTCAGCAGTTGCTCTGTAATCCGCCTCCTCAACAAGTCTATGATAGAAAGAAGATAACGTATAAGAATACACAGCCACAAAGAAGTAGAATTAAGGTGAAGAAGAGTTTTACAACTCTACCTCTGCATGCGAAGCTTCTCAGCGATAGGATCTAAAGGTTCTTCCTTTGGTGCTTCTGCTTCCTTCGGAAGTTCGGCTGCTTTACCCTTCTTTTCAACGGTTTTGGATGCTGCTTTCTTTGGAGTCTTCTCGGTAACAGGCTTTACAACAGGAGGCTACACAAAAGCAGACATATTCAAGTTCCAAAACTTAAAAAAAAAAGAGATCAAAACAGAGATGAAAATGAAAGTTAATAAGTAAAAAACTAAGCTGATACCAGAGCAGGCTCATCATCATCCTCCCAAGAGTCCTTAATTTCATTCTCATCTACATCTTCATCATCCCAATTACTTTTAAGTTCAACTTTTGCTGGAAGCGGTGCAATTTCCTCGTCCTCTGTAATCAGAAACGAAAAAAGCATAAGCAAATAGACTCAATTATGTAATGTTAAAACTAATTGTCTTAGCAAATAATCCAAATTTGCTTCAACATCCCAACAATACTATATAAACAACTTAGAGGTTTATATTCAAACACATATAGAGAATGTAAGAGAGGACACTTAAAGCATAGTACTTACCCCAGTCATCCATATTTGCTGCTAACTATATGAATCCAATTGCAAACCTGAAACACATACGGATAAGCGTCAGAAACATCAAACATCCTCAATGAATCAGCCAAGCTCTTATTTTAAAAGTTTTCTCAGTGGTGATGGTTGCATCTAAATCACTTTTATATCCAGGAAGTTCTATAACATGCATAAGAAAATCATATATAACATAATGCTTACAGAAACCAAGATACAACTTTAGATTGAAAGTATAACAAACCCAGATACCAAACTATCTTGCACATATCTGAACTATTTTCAAATAACAAACATATTGGCTGCAAAACTCTATAGTGAAATAGTAATCTTCCAACAGATTATCTCAACAGTGGATTAGAAATTAATCCATGGGCTAAACAAAAATTGTTAAAACTCGGTTTGATTAACAAATAACTAAAAAAGGGATTACTGTATCCAATTTCAAATTAAGAAAAACAAATAAAACAAAACAAATTGGTCAAAGTAATCTACAATCAGAGGATTTTGCAGAACAAACTAATAATAAATTTCGGAACTTGGAACATAAGTTAAGGAAATCTTAAATTTACAATAAATCACCATAATAATTCTGAATCACACACACAGCTCAGTCTAAATTCGAGAAATACAACCAACAAAACCAATCAAAATCATGAAGACGAGTGATTCAATAGAAACCCACCAGAGATCAACAACTATCAAAGTAGAAAAATTAAGATCTAGAAGCGAATTCAACTGAGAAAGCTGAAACCTTTAATAAGAAAACATACCGAGAAAAGGATGAAATCCAAAAGGGTTTCAGCCGAGGAAGAGATAGTCGCCAGAAAATAAAGGAGAAGAAGAGATCAAGCGTGTCGATTGGATTGGAATCTCCGATGTGATTTTCAATGGCTTGTTTGTGCGTGGTTTTGGTGGATTTTAGGGTTTTTTTATTAGTTCCTCGTTAGATTTATATGCCTTTTCTAAAGCCTTTCACATTTAGAAATGGAAAAGGATCACCTGAGCCGAAATCTCAATTTATTTTTTGTCGTTTCGGTTACTTTTATATTCCGGTTAGATTCATTCATTCGGTCGAACCGATCTCAAGTGGTACAAATTTTTTTTTTTCGAAATCATAATTTAATTTACTAGATGATCTTCAGCCCCTTACGCAGATAAATCAATTTTTAATATTATTAAAACAATAATTTTACTATAAAATAAATCAAAGATTTTTAAAATAAATTAAATTATTAATTACATAGTATTAATATAAATGTACTAACCATTAGATGCCATCTCTAAATTATATTTTAACTAACTTTTATAAATATGACTAAACATCATTAATTAAAAATTAAAAACATTACATTAAGAAAGATTACACATCTTTTAGGTAATCAAGGAAGATTACACAGTCATCACCGCCTCTCAAGACTACTCCATCATTGGATATGCATCCGAAGACTTGGAATCTCATGACTGCATGAGGTACACATCAGGCTGTCACAAGAGGCTTTCCAGTTTTCTCCACTTCTACCACTCGATATCAGAGTAGACATAGCAGACTCGCTTGGGAATTTCACAGTACAGCTGGAACAATCACACATATAAGATACATTGAAGGGAAAAAAAGAATAGCTATATATTTGCCAACATTCTTGTATATCAAAAGAAGATTTCATATTACTCATGACTATTTCTACATCACACAAAAATCACAATGATACACGGAACTTTGGAACTGTTGCTTCTGTGTTAATGAGGCACAAGTTAAAATATATATGAACTTTTGTACATAATCAGTTTCGTCGGTATTACAGTAAGAATATGGTAAAAATGGTTGTAGCACTTACGATGTTACCAAACAAACAAAATGGTTAAAAGATAAGTAAAATATATTAGATCCAAAATCTCCAATTCAGATTCATCTTATAGCTAATGAAATAAAATGACAATCCTAATGACTAAGATGCAAACAAATAAAACACTTTAGTACGAACCAATTTGGAACCAAAGAAGAGATGACAAATAAAGGACATATTTTTAAGAATTAAAGATAAAAGAGAGAATTGAATTTGATGAATAAAAAAAACTGGTACCTTTTGATGATGTTCATCATTTTGAAGCATATAATTATTTTGGCAATGTACTTGTCTACAACAATAACAACTGGATATTCTCACGGGTATAACTATACGTCTCTATAGTATAAGTTATACTGTATAATACCAACATTAATTCGCTTTTCCAACCCATGGATAGAAAACAATACATGAAATAAATCATGTATAGTTCCTTACTTTCCCAACCCATGGATAGAAAACAATACATGAAATAAATCATATAACTATATAACAGATCAAACCAAAACTCCATCTCTTATGAAACATGTATTCTTAGTCTATCACAATATAAAAAAAACTCTACCAAAATCAAGAAATCTTACTAAAACCAATTACATAAAATCCTAAATCCTTAAAATCAGAACCGTTTTAAGCAAAGATAATAGCAATTTGGCTTTGGATTACCTCCCATGTAACAAAACATCATCAATCGTCACCCAACAATATCTGTAACTTCATTGATTCTTTTAATCATCAAAACTAAACATGATATAACTTCATCCTCACACTCATGAAACCTCAAGATTTATCAACTAAAGCATAAAATTAAATGATATTCATCATCACAATCTTTTAGAAAATAGAAGTCACAATCCTTTAAATAATATGGAACGAAGTTATACCATCTGACATCAAACTCCATAAAAAATGGCAGTTCCTTCTATCCACTGAATGTAGCGTAAGCAGTACCTAGCAAGTAAAAGAAAAAAAATCAGAGGTCTTCCCTTCACTTTCACAATCAATCTTAATCAAAGACATATTCATCCAATCAATAAACCATAACCAATAAAAAGCTTTGTTTTAACTTATTATCAAGGCACGTCAAAATAAACAAACAATTAGATAAAAAAGCACCACAGCAAAATCAGAAACCGATCAATATATAAACAGAGATCTAGAGGAAATGCGATACCAACATAAAAAATGGATAAACAAAACCCCTAATTCTAATTCTGGAGAGGGAGGAAGAGATCGTACATTGATATTATTAAGATCCAACCTTGCTGAAGACTCAGTTCATACTATCACCTGAAAACATGGAATAAAGTTGGAATCTTGTAATAAAGTTGGAATCATTAAGATCCAATTTTTACGAACATAAAAACTAACATTCCTCTTCATGTTCTTCTTACAAGTGTTCTTATTCTTTAACTGCTCTTTTCCATGAACGTATCGCCTACTCGCTCCTATTTGACTATTTGTTCACCATCTGTAAAAAGTCAGTTAAATATCATATTATATAACAAAAAACAAATAACAACAAAGATACAAAACATCTCATATGAAAACTAAAAGTAAATCATAAAATAGTAGTAATATATGAACTAAACCAAAAGGCATATGAGTTCAATGAGACCGCTCGATGAGATGATTTTCCGAAAACCCTACAACAGGATTAAAAGAACAAAAAAACAAAGATCGTAAGAACCCAATCACTAAAAATCCAATAAACAATTTAGGTTACGTAAAACTCACTTAAGATGACACAATATGGATCATTCTACGAAGAATACACAAAACATCACACAAATAATAAATATTCCATGGATGATACAAAAAATAGAATAAGAAGATACACACAACTAACAAAAATATCATCTAAAAAAAACATGTTGTGGCTAATATCGAATCGATCGATCTACCACAATAGAGATACTAAAAGCTGGCTAAAAAACGACGTACAACAACAATATATAAAATAAATAATTAGGTTCTTTTCTATCTTTATTAGGTTTGGCCGAGAATTATATTAGATTTAGCGGCAAACTAATAAAGGCAATCATATTGTTTTAGAATTGGATTAAGCAAAATAATTAGGAATTTCTAATTAATATAATGTGCTTAACTCAATTCTAAATAAGTAAATAATTAATAAATTTTATTAAAGGTAATCAAAGTAAATTCATATAAGGGGCAAAAGGTAAGCAACCACAATAACTCTCAAACACAGCCCAACTTGCTTATCAATTAATTATATGATTATATGATTAATTTTTTAATTTTATTATTAATTTGTTAATTTTATTAAAGGTCAATAAAGTCTTTTCATATAAGGAGCAAAGAGTAATCAACCATCATAACTCTCAACTACAGTTCAACTTGCTTGTCAATTAATTATATGATTAATTTGTTAATTTTATTATTAATTTGTTAATTGTATTAATGGTAAATAAAGTCTTTTCATATAAAGAGCAAAGAATAATCAACCATCATAGCTCTCAACCACAGTTCAACTTGCTTGCCAATTAATAATATGATTCGTATAGAACTGTTTATATAGGAGTATAAAATAAGTAGCAGCCAAGCAGAGCCGTGCCAAGACTCTTAAGAGCTTGAGGCAAAAATAAAAATAACTATTTCTTTATATATTTTTAAATAATAATATTAGTATTATTTTCTTAAAAAATTTTAAAGTGTCAATTATAAAAATGAATAAAACTTATTAAAAACAAATATTTATTTTAGTATGGTGGTTAGTTTTTGAATTTAGGAGTGAAATTACAAAAGAACAATTTTTAACCATATTTTAACTATTACATTATTATTAGTTTTTATGAATTACGATATCAAAACTATTTATTATCTCTCAAGGTGAGGCAAATGCTTTTTTCCTAACAAGGTAGGCACGGCTCTGCAGCCAAGATGGAGGGATATTAAAATTACTTAGGTCTTGCTCTGCAGTACGGATTAGGTTGATAAGTGTTTGACAATCACCTTTGAATATTTCTTTTATAAATCCATACTCTAAGTATTTTGCAGTGCTATTAGCAAAGTTTTTCCTTCAGCCTCAAGGCATGAGGAAGACTGTCCTATTTGAGCAGAGCCCTAATATTTGCAGGAACCACAAAAGTTTCGTATTATCCAGCTAGCAAAACTTTGTTGAGTGATCGGATTAAAAACCGTGTCATAGTTACATCTGAAAAGACCCAGATTTGGGCATTGCCAAGAATATTTGATAGACCTCATATGGGAAGTTTGGGAAGATGAGGAAGTTGATGTAGAGGCTTGTAACCATTCAGCAACATCAGTCTGTGCCTTGTTGACATTACCAATCAGAGTTATTCTCTTTTTAAAAATTTTGTTTTTATTGAGTCGTTTACATCCACACACACTTTTAGTGTGTTTTCTATCATTTTAGACACAAATTTGCTTCTGAGGCACTTTCCAACTTTATTTGTACCCCTCCGTGACCGATTTGCCCTTAATGAGAAGGTAAAACAGTTATTTTTAACTGCAGCTTCTGTCTTTGGAAGATGATAAAATATTTTTAACTGTGAGCATGTTGCGTTGGCCTTTGTGCCTGTTCAACACAGCAAATCAATGGTCATGGACATTATAGTATGGACATTTGGTTGTGGATATGTGCAGATGAGATTAGATATGCACAAACACGATGAATGGATATGTACAAGTACATCAGATGTGTGGACAATATGATATGGATAATAGTTTGTGGATATGTGCACATGGTTAGTTATGTAGCAGCATAGTGAATTGATTTGTACAAAATGCCGTAAATACGTGGATAGTAAGGTATGGACACTAGTTCATGGATATGTAATTAGTGGCCAAAACGCAGAGAAATTATAAGTGTAGTTAACCGTGAATATGGACGAGCAAACATGATATGTACAACAGATGGTGGATATAACAGAAATGTTTGAATAGATAACCAGTAGTGGATGCTATGCGTGGTGCAATAAGGTTAGGAGAAAAATGAGAGAAACGTAGAAGAAATCGCACCTGTTAAGAAAGTGTTTTGTGTGTTTAATTTAGATGATGAGCTTGGAAGGTAAAAGTTTTAAAATCTGTCCATCTATTAGTATCCATAAAGTTGCAAATTTTATATGATCATATCCACAATCTTATCATCAAATGGATGGAAATTCGTGGACATGAACAATCGTGGACATACTGTATGCAAATCTAGTTTGTGTGGATGTTAATTCATAGAAATGGAATAGATAAATGAAAACAATCACAAGTGTGGGATGAAGAACACATGGTGACAACATTAGTATGATGTGGTGAATGTTAATGCAAATTTTATTTGCCATTAACGAGCACTTACGATGGTCTGAGCCATGTCCATCTGTCGAGTGTCCATCTGGTGAGTGTCCATCTGATGAGTGACTACCATGTGAGTGTCCATCTGATGAGTGTCCACCCGATCAGTGTCCATCATATATGTGTCTATTGTCTGATTGTCCACTTGAGTCAGAGTGTTTGAAATGTCTGGTGCGATGGCTGTATATTACAGTGAACAAACAAGAGGGCAATTTCATGTTGCTCTACAGATTAGGAGTCGGGGAACCTGAAGAGAAAATGATAATAATTAGATGAACATTACTACCTTCAAGCTTATGAATATTATTATTAATAACAGAGCTTCAAGGAATCAAATGCAAATTTCTCGGATTTGATACAAAAATGAGAAATATAAGCTAATAGCAATATCCGGAGATAGTCGATCCAACAAAATAGGGATTTGCAAACACAATAATCAAAAACAACCAAAAACTCATAATTTCAAAAAGAACAATCTCAGATTCAATAATCAGAGAGAGATAGAGAGAGAGAGAATGAAGAGAGAGAGAGAGACCTGAAGAGATCAAAGCAAATTAATAGGAGACTAAGATTCGCCCGAAAAAAACTCTTGTTGGGAAACAGAGATCCTTAAATGAAAAGGAAGAGAGATTTTGATCTTAATCGGTGTTGTTGACATCAACACAAGATTTATTTCTTCTCCAAATATGGCTGGTGTTCTACAACCGTAGTAACATTATCTTTTTGTAACTGAGACGTAATAATTGAATAGAAAATAGGAAGTCTAGGGTATATTAGTCTTTTTGATATGAGAAAGTGTGTGAAAAGCTTAATGTGTGCAAATGTGTGAAGAAAATAGGAAAAAGTATGTGTCAGCGTAATTATCTCTTTTTTTATTTCTAGATGCGCCATAATAGCCAAAAAAGCAATAGTCTCTCAGAATTCGAAATGCTATTATTGTCTTGGCTGTCAAGGATATATTTTACTTTTTTCTTTTAAGTAAACATATCCATTTATGAGAAATTGTTATGAGGACACACAATGTTTGAAAGTCATGGAGGCATATTTGTAGAATTGGAATAAAAAATTCTATTTGGAGATCATATTGAGTTAAAAATATGGGCAGACTCGTTACAAGTTCTTTTTACATAAAAGTATATCAGAAATTTGAAACTTATTTAACCAAAATTTAATGTCATCAAGAAGGTTGAAAATGGTAATATCAGTTTCATTTTTTCAGAGAAATTGAACCAAAACTTGACAATCTCCTTCAAATACGTCGTGTGCATAGCCCAAACACCAAAGCTGTTGTAAATATGTTAAACATATTTTTCCTTCAGCCTTTAAGACTTATAGATGTTCTTCCTACTAGTGCGGAGTCCCAATATTTACAGAAACCTGATGAGTCGCAGACCATCTAACCAATAGAGCTTTGTTGATTTTGTGGGTTGAAGGCAGCATTGTAATTACATTTAACTAAGTCGGGTAAAGGAGTTGTCCAAGTTATTGTTATTATAAAAAGGGAATGATCGATTGACGTAGTTGCAGAGATCCATTCAGTAACATCCGCATACTTTATTAACATTTTTACCAATTTTGACTTATTTTTGTTGAAAGATCAGATTATTTCGTGATTTTCATATACGCCACATTATATAGAAAGATAAAAGCTTATATGAAACCGATATACATGACATTGCTTAAGCTTTAAGAATTAATTTGAAATTTGTTTTAGTATCATGAAATGGAATGGTAAAGAACTCGAAAGGAGTGTTTACAGTCTCCAAGTCAATATGAAAACAAGGCAAGTAAAGAAAAAATGGTGGATAGTGGCTGTAAACCACAATGAATACAAGTATCAAGTACAAGTATTCCTCGACTTTTTAGTCTTGTAACAGTTCTAAAAACTTTAGACAAAACTTTCCATAAAATTTTCTTTTTTTAATATACAATGAAATGTATTCATATATATGAGTATTAATAAAATTTTTATTTATTTAAAAACAAATAAAAGATAAAATAAAATAATAATGAAAACTACGTAGATTTAAAAAAATAATAACATAAAAAATGTTAAAAATTATATACAAAAAATGATATATCATACTTCAAATATTATTAATATAATAAATAATTTATTATTAATTTTTATATATATCAAATTAATATATTATAAAAATTTTATAATTATATTTTACAATCTAATATGAATATATGTAAACAAATAAAATTGAAATCAAAATCAATTACCATTTTTTATTAATTTAATTTTTATTAGTTTTAATATTATAATCTAGTATATTTATATTTTAATTGCACAATTTAATTATAATTTAATCAATCAAAACATTTCATTTATTTTAAAAAATTTGATATATCACATTTTCAAATCTATCATTAAATGCACTAACTCATATCAAATTTTCAAGTCATCATTAAATGTACTAACTCTTCTTCTCCCATGGACACATCAAAAGAACACCACTAATAATCAAAGATTCAATCCTGAGACACAAGCTGGGTCAAGCTTCACTTTTCATCTACCCTAAGGCAATAAGATAAAATTCAACACTGTAAATTGCTGAAGAGCAGAGTCTGAGCTTATGTACATGACCATATCTGAAACAGCTGAAACTGTGATTCATATGCAACCAAGAAGAATATTGAAAGAAAAACATTCACATCCTTCACATTTTCTCTCATTGGCAAACAAAGGAAACTACAATGCCTTCTTGATATATTTGTTATACCGAACCACCATAGTAGTTAAGTGAAAGCTTCCCAGTGATTGACAAACTCTTAACACTTTCAATTGCTAACAGCAAAGTGCTTATGGACATTACAAGATCTGAAACAGCATCAAAGATAAGGAAACTGTAATTCATATGCAAACAAAGAACATTGAAAACAAAAAAAGTTCATGTTCCTCACATTTTCTAATTAGCACATCTTATTAGATTCGTCACACAGAATCCAAGGTCAAACTGAGAAAACCCGGCATTGTAATGACAGTGAAGCTTCCGAAAAACTAAGACACTAATGCAAGAACTAGGATCCAAGACTCAAGATTCAATCCTCAACACAAGACTGGGTTAATCTTCAACTTTCATCTGATCTTACGACAATAAGATAAAGTTTAACACTTAGAAAAGGGTTTGTGCTTATGAATATGACAATATCTGAAACAGCATCCTCTTACTGAAACAGTGATTCATTTGCAACCAAGAACACTGAGAGCCAAAAAAATTCAAAGCTTTCACAGTTTCTCATTTGTAAACTAAGCAAGCTAAGTAAACTCATTTGTAAACTAAGTAATTCAAAGATTTTCACAGTTTCTCATTTGTAAACCAAGTAAACTTTATCGTATAGAACCCAAAATCAATAGGTAAAACCGCCATAGTAGTGAGTCTAGTGACGTAAAGCTTCCTTGTAAAGGATAAGGTCTAACACTTAACACTTTCAATTGACATAACAAGATCTGAATCAGCATCAAGTTAATGGATCTGAGATTCACATGCATACAAGAAGACGAAGTGAAGAACACTGTAAGCAAGTATTAGTTAACTAGAATCTCTTCATAGATTTATCATATACAACTCAGGATCAAATGGATTCATCATATTCATATCACTCACGTTTTCTCACTACTACGCACAAGATCGGAAACAGCATCAAGTTAATGGATTTGTGATTCATAGGCAAGCAAGAAGAACACCGAAAGCAGATATTTTCTCATTGGCAATCTCTTCTTCAATTCATCATACAGAACAGAGAACACAAGATCAAATTGGGAAAAACCGCCATTATAATGTAGTGAAGCTAGCTTTCCCAGTAAGTTCCAAGTTAAAAACAAGATCAAAGATACAAAACCTAACCTTGAAGTTAGAAGTATTACAAAGCGAAACTTTTGAGAAAATCAGGATCACGTTTAGCTTTCTCCTGAAACTTCTTAAACCACCGATCCAAAATATCCATCGGAACAACCAATTTACTGCCGTCGACGCCGCAAAACGACTGCATGAAATTGAACAGGTTCTCCCCAACTTTCAAAGCTAATCTCTCGATTCTTCTCCCCGCCGCTACATCCATCGACTGAAGCGCCGCCACATCCTCCACAGAGATTCCGATTTTCGCCGAAATCGGAGTCGAATCCCCCGCCGTGAGCTGCATCTGAGCCGCACTTCCCGCCTCCGGCCACTGTAACGAGAGAACCGCCGAGGGTCGATTTAGGGTTACGGCGCCGCAGAAGACAAAACTGGATCCCGGAGATTGGACGTAGACGGCTAATGCTTTATCCGGTGGGAGAGTGAAGTTGTTCAGTAGGAAGATACACATCTCTCCGATTTGATCGTATGCTTCGCCTGAAGGAAAATCGAATTTGGGTTTTAGGGTTTAAATTATTTTTATTCGGCAGAGGAAAATTGAATTTGAGAAACGTACCGACGAAGTGGTTCATGTCGAGAACCCAGTGAAAGGTATCGATTTGGACAAAGGTTGAGATGTCGATAGGGAAACTCCGATTAGGGAAGACGACGCCGAACATTGTATCTCCGCGGTTGATTTTGAGTTTTAGGAGGTTTTTGATTTCGAGTTGCTGCCTTTTTGAAGTCGTGTCTTGCTATTGATGACTGATGAGGAAGAAGTAGAAAGAGCGAACCAGATGGTTCTAGAACGTTGGTGTGATTTCAATTTCTGGTTTAATTTCTAGTTGATGTTAACCGGGAATTGTCGGGTTGGTTCTCTCGGAATAAAGAGGAACCGAAGAAGTACGAAAGACTCTGAATGACTCAGTGAACGTTAAGAGTTCTAGCTAACGAGAACACACGGTTGAGTATTTGCTCCCTTTTTGGCTTCTGCTGATGAAGGATTTATCTCAAATACCCTTCCAACTCAAAACTAACGGGGTGCATTGAAGTAAGAAACAAAATACCCATCCATCAAATTCAAAACTAACGGGATATATCTTTCTTTTAATGAAATATGAAATTTTTTTACTATCCTTACTATATTTACTATCCAACCCGATTTTGACTCATATACATATTAAAAATCTATTAAAAAAAACAAAACTAATCAATGAAAAATAAGCAATTTGGACCAATCAGAAAACAGATCCGGTTTCTTCTTCTTCTTCGCGACATCATCGCTTTCGAGCTCACTCTCCTCAATCTCCATTGCAGCTTGCTTGGTGTTTTAAATTGCAGCGAATACATGTGCATTTCCGACATAACTCTGCATCTTCAAAGTCAAAATTAAGTAGAAAATACGTTTACATCTATAGAAATTAATTTGATGTTGTATTTGAAAATGAGAAATTTAATTGAATTTGGTTTGATATTGAATGCATTTGAATTTGGTATGCACATCTGAGTTTATAGCCAAGTTGTATGCGTCGAGTAGGACCATGCATTGGTAACAAATGGATATTAATAGTTGAATCATAGAGATTCATAATTAGATTATAAGGAGAGAATCCATCTGAAATCGAAATCATCAAATGATAGAGATAGAAGAACTGGGTAGAACTGGTATTACTGAGTACAATGGTAAACCTGGGTACAACTGGTATTACTGAGTAGTAAGGAAACACTTGGTAGAATTAGTTTTACTGAGTACGAATGTAGAAATGGATAGACTGTGTATTATCGAGAGAAATTGAAATTGTTGTTTATGGGTGTGTTAAAACTAGGAATGGGTTATTGTTTCTGAATAGCATGTAGATTAGAAGTGGTTCAAAAAAATTGTTATTTTAAAAAAGCCTAAGTGGGTACAACTTGGTATTACTGATTGATGTTGAGAATTGATATTTTATATTACTTTGCAAGCGATAATGAGCAAGATCGTAAAGTTATATTTCAATTACGAAGGAAGTTATTCAAAGACCACAACAGAGGATATATGGAATTCTAGATCATGTCTACGCTTTGACGTTTAAGATATGTATTGAGGAGATTAGTTACTTGGTGTTACATAGTAGGATATGCAAGAAGTTTGGAGTAGATGAACGTATGGTGAAACTACAATTAAGATCCCTTCCGTTAATATGCAAACCACCGAGAGCATCACTGATTTTCAATGATGAAGATATGTATTCTTATCTGACTTTCATGGATGAAGAGCAATGTAGAAGTGTTTTGCACGCTGAGGTCATCAAAGATTTGAGAATATATCGGCAAATAGAGCAACTCCCTCGAGTGGGTGGAGGAAGTTCATTTGGTATGAATTATTCAGAGTTGCATTCAACTGGTAATGTAGTAAATGCTGGTGTCATTATACATTACGTTTAACCAGTAGAACAACAAGAGCCATTGGAAGACATCGTGATGAGTGAAAAAGTATCACCTGACCCTAAGGATTTATTTTATAAATCAAACATATGCACATCGAAGTTGGATAATTTGTTAAGTGTCATTACTATGATTTTACTTAATAAGATTTATAATTTTATAAACAAAAATAAGGATACAAAACAAAAAACCAAAAATTTACTAAGTAAATCATTTTATAAATCAAACATATGCACATCAAAGTTGGATAATTCGTTAGGTGTCATTACTATGATTTTACTTAATAAGATTTATAATTTTTTAAACAAAAAATAGAAAATACTACATATTATATTTTAATTTTTTATATAAAATAAAATTTCTACAAATATATTATAGTTTTGATAATTTAAAAGATATTAGCCAAAAAATTAAACTAAATTATTAATGCAGATTCGCGCGTAGCACGATTTAAAGGCCTAATTAAAAAAAAAGTCACTTTTTGATAATGACTTGGTGAACATATATGCAATTTTACCCTGTTTCGAACTTCTAAAGTTTCAATTGTATTCCTTAAAAAAAAAACTTCAAAGAATCTTTAAAACCATTTGCCCTCTTGAACAGAGAGTGTATAACTAGCTGCTTTATAATACATGAGAGTTAAAATTCATCTATAATAGTATAATACCAATCAAACATGCTAAGTTTTTGGTTTTATAGAAATATTGTCTTTAAAAAAAACTGACTATTTTCATAATTTTGGTATAGATTATTTTCCTAATTATTCTCCTGTTCGGAAACAAAAGCTTCAAATGCGTAGCATGATGATCACCATCAAGTAAAAACTTCAGCGTCTAGTCGTCTAGAATCTGTGGTGGAGACGTTAGCAACGTTTTTGTCCGTTTTTCTTGGTAGATAAATCTTGTAGAGAAATAAGAATTATAACAACAACAAAATATACGAAAATTAACATCCCCAAATAGCGATCTAATGTATATCATATGACTGATGAAAATAGAACGATCCAATAGCTCCAGTTTCATTAATGGACTTGGCTCACACAAGTCACAACATGGAATCTCAAAGACAGAACCTACTTTTATATACATCTCTTCCACAAATCAAGATTTCTCACTAAACACCAATTACATAAAATCCAAAACCCTAAATCTCATTAGAACCGGTTTAACCAGAGTTAATACCAATTTGGCTTTGAATGAAACCCCAATCTAATCCTTTACCTCCCATGTAATACGTATCAAGAACATCAAGAATCGTCTTTGCAACCATCTCCGTAGCTTCACCAACTCCATTGATTCTCTTAATCATCAAAGCTAAACGAGACACAACTTCATACTCAGGCTGACGAAACCTCAAAGCTTCTCTAGGAACTGTCGTCACTAACCTCAGAAGCCCTTTACGCACAACAACCTCTCTCTGGCGCACGTTAACCATTTCCCAAGCCGAATTCACAATCGCGTAAACCGAATCCCAAACCAAATATTTCCTCTCAAGTCTTATCAGCTGAAGCATCAGATTAAACGCAGCCTCCAAAGCTAAACACCACTCTTCATCGTCACAGGAATCAAACAACCCTTTTAAGATCTTGGCCTCGAGATGATTCTCCAATAACGGATTCAAGAAAGCTTCATCGAGAATCGTTGACAATTCGCTGAAGATCAAAAGCGTTTTCTTGTCGTTGAGAGAGATGATGAAGAAACAGAGCTCGTCCCATGGGATGTAATCGAGGAAGAAATCAACGGAGACACGAGATATGATTCTTGATAAGGGTTTAAAGTCGTGATCTGAGATTTCTTGCTGGAGAAGGCACGAGTTTAGAATCTCTTTGATGTCTCGCAACGCCTCTGGTTTCAATCCGATTCTTGAATCTTCGAGATCGCTGAGAAGTGAATCCAGGAGTGAGAGGGAATAAGATCGAACCGAGGAGCGAGAGGAGGCTCTGTATACTTGGAGGAGTTTCACGGCTAAGAGATTCTGGAAATGTTTTTTGAAGGAATCGTAGAGAAGCTTCGAAGATTCCTCTGTTTCTTTTCCGTAACAGAGACTCGTGACGAGTTTGGTCATTTCTTTGAGGTTGCGTGTTGCGAGAATCTCTGTCGCTTTATCTGCGATGTAGCGAGGAGATAGCATGAGAGGTGGAGGAGGGTAAGAGGAAGAAGGGTTATTGTGAGATGCAGAAGCCATTTTCCGGATTTCCCCGAGAAAATGCGAGAAAATCTTGTTCTGAGAGAGAAGGATGATTAATCATAACAGAAGGGATTTGATGAATCTTTTTTGATATATTCGATTTGGTGACTCACGATACGAGCTTCTTCGAGGAAAAAACTTAAATTACGCCTTTAACAAAATACGGTTTTGCTATTGTGCGCTTAAAACTTCCCGGAAATTACTATTCTAACCCTGTTTAGTTCACACTTGCACGTGTTTAGCAGGTGCTGTATTTTGTTTCTACCGAACCAAGATTCACTATTATTTACAATGACAAACCGAACCTGAATTTTCTGTAATCAAACCAGATCTATTAATAAGTAATATTTTTAATCAACGAAAAGATAATTAAATAATTAATTTTTCTTATGATTTGTCTGCACAGCCTGTGCGGACCGTAAATTATCATAAAAAAATTTATAAATAGATCAAAAATAATTAACGATGTCCAGAAAAAAAAGCTATTATAATCGATTATGTTATTATCAGTCTAAAATATAATAGTTATACTAATAATAAATATTATTATTACTTATTATGTTACGAAGACTTTTTGCTTCTACAAATGGAAGGTCCAAGAAAACTTGTGCACATTTGAAAGTGGTTTCTACTCTCCAATAACTATTTCTTCGAATAATCGATACAAACCTCATTATACAGATAGCGAGCTGCTAATTGCACGATGACCAAGTTTCGAAAAAATCCTCTGAATACTTATTTTTCAAAAGTACTGGAACTCACGAACCACTGTTACCATTGTAATAGATCCATAGCTCATTATCACCAAAAAGTATTAAATGCATCATATCAACATGCACCAATCAAAATTAGAAAAACATACCGTTCATCCACAAGTTTAAAAGTTATGTCTCTTCGCTTACGAAAACCAAGCGCATGAAATCCTCTAAAATTCACAACTCGACCGCTCAGGTCTGAAATATAAACACTATATGAGTAATTTAGTTTAGCCAATCAAAACTAAACACAACCAATAAAACTCATCAATACAGACATTGAGATCCATAAGTCCATCTCTAATAGCTTCGATATCCATGAAAGAAAAACGACTGGTAATTTCTGCAGGAGGAGTCTTAACAAATACCGTACGTGGCTGACAATTGATCATAAAATTGTGCATACTTGGTCGAAACTCTCCAACAACAGG